GAGCACCTCAAGCCCCTCTCTCCCTAGCTATGTGCCTGTCGTAAACAACATTACGAGATCGGCGGAGAAAAAAAGCCTTCAATCTTGCAAGTATGTAACTTGACATACGTGATGAGAACGATAAGTTACCTATATTACTATTTGAAGGCGCTTTCGTTGAAAGTCAATTCGATCCGATTCTAATCTACTGCCTCTCGTCTCACACCACCACCGGCTTAATAATACTAAAACTTATTGTAAGCATTACCAAGTATCCAACTTAAGAAGCCAATCATTTCATTAATGTTTCTCAAGATTCCCCCTCTATACATACAAGATTTGTCTTGCTTTACAAGTTCACGGTTTTGTCATATCGTAGGTTCAAATAAGTGTCACGGGTTTTTAGCTGGCAAAAATATTTTTTCCCTAGAGATTCTTTCATAATAAAAAAAAAATAATTGAAGGCGCTTTGTCATTTAGGTTCCACGCAGCACTGTTTACTGCCACCGCCGCGCCGCATCACGGGTGCGACAGGGAGTGCCCGAGAGGTCAAAACGCCTTCACACCTGAGTGTATGCAACAAGGGCATCCGTGGAGCCCGAAAAGTTGTATCCAGGCTCTATCAAGAATTTCATCAATTGTTCATCATTGCATGATGAACCACCTGAGAGCGTTTTGATTGTTTGTTTTTTTACACCTTGACTTAATTAATTACAAAATTGCTAATTTGTGTCAATGAGTTATACTTTTACTGATTTGTATTGTGACATTGTCAATTTTCTAAACACTTTATTCATCTTTTAAATGTATGACAGCGTTGCCAATCCGCAAAATAAAAAATGATCCAGGTATCTGAGCATTATTCATGGAGTTTCTCTCAACCAATTTTAACTAGTCGTCTTTTTCTGAATACTTTTGACGTTTAGGTGAATTATAGGTACGCAATGTTCGGCAAACGCTTAAAGTTTTAAGTGACGTTAAGCGGTACTTTAAAGAGGACTCCTGATAAATTGCACGTGAAGAAAACGAACGTTTGCTTGAAGAAAAACGATGACGATTCGTCTTTTTTACGGCGATTCTTGTAAGTTGGCGATCTTGTTTTTCCTACAGTTAAATGTATGTAAAACAACCAAAATTTGGTTAGACAGCTTGCCTCGCCTAAAATCGACTTTTTTAATTAAATTAAATGAAGTTAAAACTATTGCCGCAATCAGACGCTACATTTAGCAGCTGAATGTGGAAGTCAACAGTCATCGCGCAACGGCTGAAATTTAGCAAATTCGAGTTATTTTCATCCAGATGTGTATCAAATCTACTCGAATAGTTCAGACAAATTGAAAATTGGTCCGATGATTGCCGAGAATCGTTGCTGAATTTTGCGCGTCACGCGCAAAATTCAGGCATCGGGCCGATGACTTCCACATTCAAGCCACATTCAGCTCCCACATTCAGCTCCCACATTCAGCGTGTGATTGCGGTGTGTGCTGCTAATTTAACAATCCATTACTAACAATCTGACGGCGAAACTACCAAACTACTTATCTTCTTCATGATGTCTTGAAATATCCGCGGAATTTTCCTCGCCCGGCGGAGAAAATTCAAGGAAGTTTTTAATAATTGAAGTCGAGTAACTTTCCCTTTCAAAAATAAAGTACAATAGTTCGTCTGTAACGTTGTGAACCGAGATACGTGGTTCGGGCGTTTCACTGTAGAATTCTTCCTCTTGCCCTCACAGAAAAAAAAAAAAAACTCTTGAAGTCAGAGTCCAAATTCTTAAAAAAATTGACAAGGAGAAATATTCTTGCTGAATAGGATTTTCGCTTGAATCAATGAGAAATCCGCTAAACTCATGAGGTTTGACTCTCTATTCAAGCAAAATTCCGATCGAATCAAAAGTACTTTTCCTTGTCAAATTTTTTGAGAGTCTGCTCTCTGGATCCAAGAGAATTTTTTCTCCAGTGCTAACAAAACTTTGCGGGAGATCCGTTGCGAGATCGTCAAGACTGAGCTGCTTTCGGTCTTACAAGTTCCCGTTCATTTCTTTCAAATGAGATTCTACCGCCGGGGATTCGTCGTGTCGTGATGCAAATGTGAGCTTGTATGTAAAAGAGCCTCGCAGCTCAGCCCTAGGTCAAGGGGACTCCATCCGCCGCTGGACATTTTCATGCCGCCTGTCTGACGCCTGCTTTCTGTTTAGCCTGATCGCAGTCCATTGTGTTTTCTCTCTCCGAAAAGACAACCACGTGTTTTAATTTCCCAGAAAAACCATGAAATAAACAGGGATTGGGCACATTTTAAAGGAATCTGATTCCAACTAATGGTGCGCTCAATGCTGCCGCGATAGGGAAGAGAGCCGTAAGCGCAAAAATGAAGATTTTAGAAAATTGGCTCAGTAGCGTCTGAGCGGAAATTTCATTGAAATAAGCTACCCTTCTTTGTCAAATTGCCACACATCATCCGAAAGACTCTTAGAAATCGTTTTGACGATTAAAAATTCACCTATTTTATTTTGCAATTAAATGAAAAGGAAATTTTACTATTCATTTTCGTGTCAGGCTAGGGTTAGAAAAGACAGCCGTAAGTGCTATCTTCTGTATTTTTTCGTAGTTGCGATTCGGACACACAACAAGTAAATATCCAGGTGAGAAATTGGCAGGGAAAGGCGGTATTTTACGTAAAATAAATTTATTGGCTCTCTGGAAGAATATTGTTCCTTACGGCCGTTTTGTCTGAAACTACGTCAATTTTTGCGCAAATACGGTTATATCATGTCTCGTTTTCATATAAAGAAGATGAATTTTGCTGTTTCGGCTATTTCAGTGATTTCATCTAAAAGAAATTGGACAAATTTTGAAGGAAACTCGGTTTCGAGATTTTGAGAATTACGGCTTCCTTCGCTATCACGCAGAATGAGGTGGGAAGGGGGTACCGGGTGTATCCCACTTTTCAAAATAAGTAAAATAAAAATTATTTCACTCATTACTGACTACACCATCTGGCACAAAATTGTTTAAGAATTTGACGAAAAATTTTTTCCCCATAAAGAATACATTGTTAATGTGAACGATAAACAGTGTCAAAATTGGAGTACTCTGGCGGCGATACATCTGATTTGTTTTTCTATAAGTTAAAATTGCCCGAAATTAAAAAGTTCGTTTCAGAGACGGTTGGATTTAAAAAATGATCACAGTCAAGTCATGTCAATTTTTTTCTCTCAAACATTCGGAAAATACTCATGCGTCTAGACATGCAATTAGCCTAAGCGAGAAATTTGCACGGTAAACATGAAGAGGAGGTAGGTACCTAAATGGGCAAAATGTGGATATAAGGGATCCACTTCTGATGGTTTCAAATCATTTTAGGCCTCTCAAGGCAGATCACTTAAAATGATCGACTAAGAGCGCTATATTTGTTCGTGCATAGCATTGTGAATGGCATTCGAATCAGACGCACAGGCCTCATTACTCAACGTAGAATCAATTCTGTGCAATGAATTCTGGGGGAAAAATCAACATAGGACTCCCAAATCACGAATCTCGTTTGCGTTGTTTAAAAATCTTCGCTCCCATTTTTTTTTTTTTTTTTTTTTTTTTTTNTTTTTTTTTTTTTTTTTTTTTTTTTTTTTAGGAACAAATCATCAGTTCACACTCACAGTATTCACAGCTCACATTCCTTCCAGTCTTCACAGAATTTTCCTCGCATAGAGAAGAAAAATCACGGAAGTTTTCAAGAATTGACGTTGAAAAGTTTTTCATTTGAAAAATATTGTATGACAGGGAGTCTATAACGTCGCAAACCGAGATACGTGGTTTGGTAGTGTCATTGTCAATATGTATGAAGGCTGGCAATCAGCGCATCAGCAAACGATAATCGTCTTAAATTGGTGCCTTTTAACATCTTTTCATCCAAAACTGCCCCCATTTTAGGGTCCTCGTGTCGTCTAGTAGCCATGCTTTCTATGGGGTGATCTGAAAGTTGCGCACCACCTCTACATACCTCAGCAGGGCTCCCCCTCAAATCTTCTATGGCCCCCCCTAGTTTCCTTTGACCTAGGGGCACTCACCAAATTTCAAGTCTCCATCTCGATTTCTTCAAAAGTTGCAGGGATGATGTCTGGTGCTGTTAGTGCGAAACTTGTGGATCGCCCTGTACAGAGGAAGGAGTTTAAGGGCAGGAAATACTAAAAAACACGTAAAATAATATTACTTTGGATTTTGCAATGTTTGCGGGTCATGAGGTGCAGCGCAGCATTCAAGAGATACGTAGGCATAAGTAGCGCAATTTCATGACGGTAGCTCGGCTTGGTCCCCTTTCTCTGGATAAATCTGGGTTTGTTTAAGAACAAAGGAGGGTGTAGGCTGTAGGGGGAGTTTTTTCCGACAAATTCCTGAGAATTGACCTCTCTTTGGTGCATTCTCAGGCTACACTCACGCAAAAGTCTGTGTACGGACCTAAGGTTCAATACTACCATGGAGGAGGGGTAAGTAGGTACGTTTAGTATTATCCCTGTACCTACATGTTACGTAAAAACCGCTGTGTATTGAGAAAGTTTTGGATATCAACCCTTAAGTCGGTGAGACTTGAGTATGTACAGTTCACAGCGAGTGATGTCATTCGTCCTTCAATTGAATCAGTGAGTTCGAAAACACACCAACTCGAAAAAAAAAAATTGTTCAGGAAACACCTAAAACTGCGCAGCGAGCGAAGAAGTTAGTTTAAGAAAAACCTTTTTGGTGCCAAAGGACAAGTACTTAGAGACTTTGTAAAGCACCAAGTTGAAATCGATACACCATGTTTGATAACAGAGAATTAAGCATTTAAAAATTTCTGAGTTGGTGTGTTTTTGTTCTCACCGACTTTTAGATACTGATTTTTCATAGTCTGCCCTGAAAAATTTATATTTTTTGACCTGAATAACGCTTGAATATTTATATAACTTGTTGGTACAAGGTATACTGAACCGAAAAAAGAAAACCGCAAAATCGGATGGTCACCCAGTTTCCATTGGAATGGCCAAAAATTGGTATTTCCAATGAAATACTTCGATTCTCCCCTTTTCCCGTCGCTGTTTTGAGCACTTCCGATTGCAATTTCGAAATTTCCTTTTTCGTGCAGATGCTTCTATCCATAAGTGTTACTAAACCGTGTAAAAGTGAAAATTGAAAAAAACCTGAGTTGGTGTGTTTTCAAACTCACTGATTCAATTATTTATCGACGTAAGGAGGTAGAGATATGAGGACCTGTTTGCTCAGCCATTGATACCTACATCAAACATTGATTCCCTGTGGAGGTATACAGATCAGAATGCGCGTTACGATAATGGGCACTCCCTACATTGCATGCAACAGTGTTAGGTTTCGAGTCAATGGACCTGTTTCTTGAATGAAATTGCCTTGGTAGTAAAGATACTTTGAATGAAAGCAACAATGAAGGAAATTCCGTAGTTGCAACAATGTACTGAATTCGTATTCCCAGTGGCCTGCGCCCTCCACTGCACTATGTTCAAACTTCATGTTTTGCTGTCTTGCAAAAAGCGTCCTTAGAACTTAGACTGCATGTTTAGAGATTTTGTGATATGTGTAAATGGGCTGAAGTTTTAAGTGAGGATTCGTAATACAATTTTGAAAAAAATATATTACTTTGATGGTAGAAAAACTAAAAAAGTAAATTAAGAAAACTAGAGGTAAAATTGTTCAAAAGGACTCCATAGTTTGATTATCTAAATCATAACATTTAATCACAGACTCAAATGTCAAATGAACCATTATATACACAACAAACACCAAAATTAATAAAATAATTAAAGACGAAAAATCGTGAAAAAATGTTATTTGTTCTATAGTAAAACTAGCACTATTAAGGGTAATTTAAATTCAATAAGGTAAAAAGTATACTATTCAAGGACTTCATTTTAGAAGGGGGAGGAGTGAAGTTTAGATGCTTTCGTCCTATGCCTGGAGACTCCCTTTCAGGAGCTAATAATGATCAACAATTTTCTCGTGTTAAAGCACGATAGTTATGGTTTAAATTATTCTCTTTCGTTCTGTATACCTACCCACAACGATTTTTTCTTCAGTTTACGATCACGTTCTGTTTTCGAGTTAATGAAATTAAATATTTTAACTCCGCTCGAAATCTAGGTGTAATCAACATTGTGTGTATGTTATAGACAAGCCTATACTTTTTGTTAATTATTGGGGTTTTGGATGGAAATAGAGAGAGAATACTAAAAAATGGAATTTGATGCATTCATCGCCGAAATTGATGCGAAGAGCTTAAACGTTTTATCTTCATGTAGTTTAGAGTGCTTACGGCATAATATCAAAGTTTTTAAAAATTCAGTCCTTTTTTCATCGTACCGGTGACAAAAGTGCCTCCTTAAAGTCGAGAAAACCGAAAAAAATACCTTAAATTCAACTTTGAAAATGGGGCAAAAATTTAAAATCAATTTGTTTCCCCGCTCCAAATTTGGCGCCTCGGAGGGTTTGGCCCACAAAAGGGTGACAGACTAAGTTGAATGCAAGGAGTTACTCAAATGTATGACCTACTTTCGTAGTGACATTGAAAATGCGCTTCACAGAATTTCGCATCTTTGCTCGTCACTGCATTTCCTACGACATTTGCATAGAGGCACTTGTAAACTGACGTGCGTTTCCGCAGAAAACCACGATTACGGTAATAAGACGTGTCATTCCCTCAGATATTCATCCATAAATTTTCATTTTATATTAAATTCTGCTTTTTAGTGGTCACTCTGTCGCGAGGAAACGTCTAGGGGAATTGTGGAAGGTCTCAACTTTCTTATATCCGAGGCACAAAATATTTGATTTTTGAATTCATGTTCTATCTGTTTACCTTTTTAAGAAGACTCTTACCGCAATTCAAATTCCTGAATTCGACTTCAATTTTTTGGTGTGACAAATGTGTTTTGGGACAACGTTGAAAAAGTTTTTCTATGAAAGTAGTTCAGTTTGTCTGTGATTGAGTGTCCATGTAGGCACTCAGTCCGTAATTTTCACACCCGTGTTTAAAATACTTCCCTTGATAATTTTTTCGATTAAAATTTAAACTATACGCACAGAGGTAAGTTTATCAAATCTTAAATGACCCAGAAAAGTGCAATTATGATTGTTTTATGTTTTCCAACTGAGCCATAATATTTTGAATTCCAAATTGTCCGTATTGATTTTTGCTTGCTTTCTAATGACGAAGCTGTACATTCTGAGAAGAAAAACAATTTAATCTTGGAAATAAACTCATATTTTACCATTTCCATTTAAGCTCAGGCAATCAAGAAACTATTCATCACAAGTTTTTAAAAAAAATTGAAATTTTATGACATCCCAAACATATGTTTGTAACCATCATGAACGTCGTGAACTGAGGTACGTGGCTTACTGATATGACAGCTTCACCATCGATATTTAGTCATGCAATTAACGAAAAACATTTGTATCCAAGCAGTTACCATTGCATCAGAATAAACTGTAGAGAGGCATGATGGAAACAAGGATGATACAAACACTGCAGTGAGATTTTTCTCGAAGATTGGCAAATCGATAAATTGTTTTTCTTCAGTTCACGTTATTCATTTTATGGACGTATTTAAACCAAAAGGAACGGTCTCATTCGTGACCTGAGCCCTGATATTCATAAAAAAGCATGTATAACAGGATTCATGTTACAATGGAGATATTTTCTCATCATCGAAACACATTCATAGGAATAATCGATTCTTTCGAAAGGCAGCCCGTGTTGATACACATTTATTGCTATTCACGGCGCAAAATGGACAAAATTCATTGATTTCAGCCTATGATCACCTTGTCTTGTTAATCTAAGGACAAACCTTTCCTATTCATACTTTCCCAGATTCCATAAACAATAAAATATAGTATATTCTGTTCCTTAATTTTGGAGAGCTCGCTTACAACAGAAGTTTCATGCTATCAGTATATTTAAAAGGTTAAGAATGGAATTTTTCACAAAAATACTTAGGCATATTATCTCGGCTTTCAGGCACAATGGATGAAAAATTTGAGGTTGTAATATCGGGCGTCTCAGCTCGGATTCCTGATTGTGACAATATTTCAGATTTCATGGAGAAGATTTACAATAAAGCAGCCATGACGGGGGTTAACACAACTTGGATGAAAGGTAACTAATAATGTAATTTCGATGAAGAATATGATTATAGATTGTGAAATTAAATGTACGTCTCTCTTTTCCAAAATTAGTTTATTTCTTACATATGTATGTCGTACGTCAATGCTCAAGTCATTCGTTTTGTCAAATACCCATGGAAATAATGTATTACTCTCCCTGACAATACAATTTTTAAATATATCTAAACAGGATGGATCGCATTGCAAAGTCCTTTTCAAGCTTTCCACAATTTACTCGCGAATAATCGCAAATTTTCTTCAAAAAACTCTGTCAATTTTGATCACATTTCGATGGAAATTTTCTAAAATGTCAATCTAGCGCATAATACGCTCATTGACGAAAAAAGAGATAATTAAGAACAATCAGTCGAGACCTTGCCGTACGATTAACTCGTTCTAGGTCTGATTGCTTCAAATGTTTTCATTTCCTATTATTCCTATTTAAATGCTACTTGATTTTTACTTGACCTGTGTTTAGGATTCGAAGGAGTTCCTTACCATTCAGGCACAGTCAAAGACTGGGACCGCTACGATACGTACGCCTTTAACATAAATCTTGCGCAAGCCAAATGCCAGATTCCCGCAGTTCCGAAGCTCCTTGAAATGGCTCACGAGGCTATCATCGATGCAGGTTTGCTCAGAATTGGCTCGCACGACACTAATAGAAAGAAAATATTTGATTTGTACAGCTTCAGCACGTATGCTTCTCTTAAAAAATTCTAAAAGCTATCGCTTGAGCTTTGTCCTACATAGTGTTGTGTTTAATGAGTTGGTTAGTTAATTTATTTAGAGACATTTAGCAACTTAGGCTATCAATGGCTCTACAAAGAATATGATTGATGGGTGTAATAGAGCGTAGCGCCTTCATTTGAACGGTGGGACAAAAGCATACCCCCACACATCAAAATGTTCGCATCATCGTTATTTACCCGCCAGACGTTCTTGCGTAACTCTGGATTTGAATCTATGTTAAGAGTAGCATCCAATCTGTGAACTTTTCAACATAGTTCTCAAACAGCCGGTGCTTCATAGCGAAATATCCGTGAGAAATCCTTTTTAAAGTTATTTTAGAGTTTGTGGATAATTGCTTTTCCTTCTATAAAATTACGGAGGACTTAAAGAATCATCTGGCAAAGTCCCTCGCGAAAGAATTTGATAATTGCCAACCGTATCATCTAATTCTCGTTTAAAATAAGACATCTTGAGGTCAGCTATATCAAAAATCACATGCAGTTTTATCGTATCCAGAGACCACCAGAGCACGATGAATCAGATGGATTTGGTTAGTCCACTGTGCTTCATAAAATTATAATCCATATTTTTATATTGTGAGATTTTTACTTGCAGTTTTATGCCTTTTAAAATTGACCGCGTTCGTGAATGCTTTCGACCTGTATAGTTTTATTATTCATTCTCAATATACCTCAGTGACGGCCAGGAAAGGGAATACGGCCGAGTCATCTTCGCAATGCGACGCGCCTTCAATCCGGCTGGCTGCAACATGCCTACATCCGTGGTCAAATAGTTGTATCATCGCGCCTGCCGTGAATGAATTGAAATACCAACGGCTGCACGCGAAAAAAAAGCGTATTTATCTCCGATTGTAACGTTGCACACATCTACTGATGTTTTATTTTTGATCGATATTTTTTACAATGCTTCCTGTCGTTTTCTGAAGGCCTTTCGTAAATTTTCCGAAATTATTTAAAAATAAAAATCGCAGAAAGTTTCGACACGTTACTCTCGTTTTTTCATTTTCTTCAATCATAAAGCGAATCAAATACAGTTAAATTTTTTGAATCGTGTTAGAGTTGAAATACATATTTCAATTTAATGTACAGTGAAACAGGGCAAAAAGTGAAAAAGATGACGCGTATTCTTAGATTTGCGGCGATTTCAGCGTTGCAACAGCCAGGGAAAGGAACATGGCTGCGTGATCTTCGCAGTTTGACGCGCCTTCAATCCGGCTGGCTGCAACATGCCTACATCCGTGGTCAAATAGTTGTATCATCGCGCCTGCCGTGAATGAATTGAAATACCAACGGCTGCACGCGAAAAAAAGCGTATTTATCTCCGATTGTAACGTTGCACACATCTACTAATGTTTCATTTTTAATCCATGTATTTTAGAAAGCTTCCGGCAGTTTTCTGAAGGCCTTTCGTAAATTTTCCGAAATTATTGAAAAATAATAATCGCTACAATTTTTAACGCGATTTTTTCGTGTTTTTTTCTACTTAAACAGAAAAAGAATCAAGTGCGCTTCAAGTTTTTAAATCGTTACGGTTGAAATACATTTTTCAACTGAAAAATGTGAGGAATAATGACGCGTAGTCCTAGGTTTCCTGCGATTTCAGCGTTGCAACAGCCAGGGAAAGGAACGCGGCTGCGTGATCTTCGCAGTTTGACGCGCCTTCAATCCGGTTGGCTGCATCATGCCTACACCCGTGGTCAAATAGTTGTATCATCGCGCCTGCCGTGAATGAATTGAAATACCAACGGCTGCACGCGAATCAAAGCGTATTTATCTCCGATTGTAACGTTGCACACATCTACTGATGTTTTATTTTTGATCGATGTATTTTAGAAAGCTTCCGGCAGTTTTCTGAAGACCTTTCGTAAATTATCCGAAATTATTAAAAATTAATGACCGCAACAATTTTTGACGCGATTTTTTCGTGTTTTTATCTTCTTAAACAAAAAAAAAAAGAATCAAGTGCGCTTCAAGTTTTTAAATCGTTACAGTTGAAATGCATTTTTCAACTGAAAAATGTGAGGAATAATGACGCGTAGTCCAAGGTTTGATGCGATTTTATCTTCGTGACGGCTGGCCCGTCACACACCATCTCAGGCCCCGGTACCAGTTTTAAGGCCCCGATCCCAAGCATGGGGGGAAGGGGGGGTGGTTCGACGGGCATATCCCGAGAAATTTTTGAATTTATAAATCTTTTCGGACGCATTTTGAAGCTTCCATGACGAATTTTCTCATCAATTTCTGCGGAATAATTACGCTTTTTTTCTACTTTCAGCACATAATACTTGCGAATTGTTGCATTCCTAACATCTGGAAAATTTTTATTTTTTGGGGAGGGGCATATGATACTATTTTCAATTTTAAGGGGGCCAGGCCCCCCTGGACTTTTCCTTCGTTTGTTTATGGCAAGGGAGTTGAGCCATGAGCCATCGGATGCCCGGACTGGAGACTCTTAGCATCTGACGACGGAAGAAAATGAACCGCAGTAACTAAAAATATTTTTCTGTACTGAAAATCTCGAAAATAGATAGAAATTTTCGAAGATTTATACTTCTTTGAAAATTTAAGAAGAACTCTACAGTACCCCAGCGTGTTTTTGAAAATTTATTCACCTTTTGCGAAATTTTTGAGGTAAATTTTTCACTTTTGCTTACGAAACAAGGGTTGCATGTGAATTCGTAGTGAGTTTTCACGGGTAGCACGGACCCCCACCGGGGCCCGGGCCCCGGGCCCCGGTACCAGGGACCTAGTATCCCCCCCCCCCTTGGGGCGGGCCTGTATACCTGAAGATGGCAATGCCGACGCATGATCTTTGCACAGTACCTATATGGACGTATTTCTGCCTAGCAGAACTACTTGCATTAAGACATGAGCCCTGAGAGCTTTAAGCATTTATGTATAACAGATCTCACGTCATAGTGCACATAGTTCCGTTTGGTGGAAATACATCCACATAACAAAACACCAGGAAAAAACACGGTGAATTCATTCAATCATCATACTCCCTTAAAGTTTAAAAACGCGTTGATGAATCGTCATGCTCGTCAATCATCCAAGTAAAGGACCCATCATCATGAAGGGACCATGGAACTCAAGAATGATTTGATGGAGTTTGATTGAATCTAACGTCACATAGATGAATATCAAAAGGAACTATCCCCTTTGTGATACATACCCTGTTTTGCATGTATTCTATGAAGCCGATGATGTACCGATTGGTAATTCCGGCGTGTCTCGAATCACAGATACTTAGTTTAAGTATCATATTGGATATTATATTTGTCACAGATAAGGTTAGAGAAATGATAACGATTTGTTCATTGTAATATTAGTGTTCATTGTATGTATATCTAGTGTTTGAGAAACAATAAAAAAAAAAAAAAAAAAAAAAAAAAAAAAAAAAAAAAAAAAAATGTTTTCTATGAGCCTTAAGAAATAAGTCACAATGGAGATAGTTTCTTTCGATTTAAATACGTCCATTTGTATTTCTTCCTCACAGGAGTTCACCCAAAGTCGCTATCGGGTACCAACTGCGGCATATACACGCTGTCTTGTCAGGCAGACTTCAGCCCTCGCCTACTGAGGGGCAACAACAAACGCACCATGACTGGCTCCACCACTAGCTACGCAAGTGCCCGTATTGCCTACTGTCTGAATTTGAACGGTACGAGATTATTTCCACATGCATGTTTAACCAATCTATCAACATATTAAAGAATGGGATGTCTAAAACAAAGACATAAAGACGGAGGGCTAAAAGCAAAAAATGAAGCTTCTTTTCAACCACCTCTACTATTGGCTAGAGGATTGGCGGCGAAATCGGGACAAGTTTGAAATTCAAATGTAGGGCGGGAACTAAATAAAATTGCGGAAACAAAGTATTCTAGGTTGATTTTTGCCAAAATTCACCTACCCACTCATATTTTTTGAGCTCGCCCACTCGGGAGAGCTCTTTGCGATCGATTTCTTTTAGCATTGGTAGTGTCCGTGGCGACGAATGGATGGTTCTCGTTGCCGTCGGAGGAACGGCCAAAATCCCATTGATTTCAAGGTCTAAAAGTTGAATTTTCGCGGGTTACAGTTTTCCTCCGTCGAACATTTCCGTTCCCTCATTCAACTGAGGATTAATTGTTCCTCGTTTGCTACACTAGAGAGCAGCACTTTCCAGTGGCCGAGCATATCATAGCATGTTGCTATGGTTTTATATCAAATAACCTAATTGTATGTTATCATCCTCTTATCTTTTCAATGCAGTTTTTGTGTGCAGTTGTACTTGCAATTGTTATTATTTCTTAAAATAAAAAAAATGGTGACCTCGACGTGATTTAATAATTTGTTCAATTAATTTTAAGTTACTAAGACTAAGATTGAGATTTGCGCATAATTAATGGATAATCCTTAAGATTGCCGTTATTGGTACCATAGAAGGTTAATTAACCTCAAAATAATTGCATGCTTGAGAGCTCGGTTGAGACTCGCATTGGGATCCTTTCAGTGTTTGTTTAAACCTCATATTAAGAATGCTTTAGGATTCGTTTGAGCCCCTCGCATCAAGAATGCTTGGGAATTCGTTTGAGCCTCGCATTTAGAATGCTTGAGAATTCGTTTGAGCCTCGCATTGAGTTTCTTTAGAGTTCGTTTTAACCTTAAAATACAGATGCATGAAGTGCTCTTTCGAGCTCCGTGCTATTTATAGTGCGCGAGGTGCTCCATTGAGCCACCCCATACCTACAAAGGCGTGATGTGCTCCATTGATCCACTCGCATACAAAGGCTTGAAGTGGTCTCTCGAGCTCCACGCTAAAATTCAAGTGAATTCCTTTTCAGCTCTTAGTGTATACCATAAGTATTGTGTAAGAATTATGGCAGAAACGTTCCTCCAAACCGTGCTAAATTATAGTTTCTTTGAACTCTGTGCCGATAAAAATTCAGAATTCCAGACTGCCAGCTTAACAAAGTATAACCTTAATTCAAGCTGGCGACTTGATTTAAAAAAAAAAAATTAAAATTAAATCATATGATTTCATTACATTGTTGACAAGTTAAGAAAAAGCTTATCAACGATGAAAGCCAGAAACAAAAATGCGATGGCAAAAATAGCCATTGCAACATTTGCCGCAAAATCACATTCATAAAAGATAATTCCATTTCTCTCTCTTTATTTCTCTTTATTTATTGTAATGTGAAAAATTTGTCATATGAAATTACGTCATAACATTTTGCATCGGCATGTAACCTCTGATAATTGGGTAAAGATTCATTTAATACATATACAATTTCAGAAAAAATCATTAATAGTTGTTAATAGTTTCCCAAAGGCGAGCTCTCCATCACAGTAGTGTTGGAACCAGCAGCTTGTTTAACTTTAGGTTAGTTTCGGTCCGTCGTCGACCGATTAATTTCATTCGGGAGTAACGGTCATCTAGGACTGTAACGGCCTGTTTGAACCGGCAGAACCACCATGAGCAGAAGAAAAACTAACTTTATCTGAGAATACTGCATGGTAACGCAAAAAAGTAAATGTATTATAAAAAGTCGCAGTCCCAACTTTCATAACATGTTCGTTTTAGGCATTTAAAATACGTTTTGAAGAAGAAATGTGGAAAAATCAAGAGGACAAGTTCAAACCAAATTTCCGTTTGCCGCCATGGATTCCCGCGCTCATTTACACACTCACACAAGGACCCAGCGCCAAACCAGGCTTCAATTTTTCCCCGTGCTTTTAGATACGAGCACTCCGTCTTTATGTCTTTGGTCTAAAAGCTACTGACATTTCAATTCCAAAAGACCCCCCCCCCACCACCACCAAAAACGCGTAAAACCTTGTTATTTGAAGAAAGTTCACGGTGAACTCGGTGAGGCAAAAGAAGCCTCCTTTCTGCCATTTTGGGCCTGGACCTCTATGGGGAGAGTACGGACATGTCGGTATAATTTTGAGGTTAAGTCATGGAGCTTTTAGGGTCCAGAAGGGCAGCCAACCTGGGAAATCAAATTATCAAAAATCATTTATTATCAAAATTGTTACGACTCGTCGTTTGTAAAGCACGTGCGTATATGACAAAGTGTTTTTTTTTTTTTTTTTTTTTTTTTTTTTTTTTTTAAATTTAAAAATTTTTGCGGAGAGACACTATTTTATGTACATTCTTGGCCATCTTGGTTTGATATTGAAATCTGAAGATTGGCGGCAGCATTTTTCTTGTGTCTTTCGTGTTGGAAAGTTGGCTGCCTTTTTGGGCCCTGAGAGCTTCATTTTCTCCCGTCTCCGTACTCTCCTCATTTTCCCCACATAGGTATTTATTTATTATATATATTTCATTTATTTTATAAATTTTACTAATTTTATTTATTTTACTAAGTTTACTTATTTTCTTTATTTTATTTAGTATGAATTGGTACAATCAAAACAATAAAAAATTGTATAGCTCATGTCAGTTGGTTTAAAACAATTTGTAATAGAAGTTATAAGTATTCTATTTTGAGCCATTGGCAAGCACCATCTGTCTCTTTTTTCATCCTGAAGAGCCTCAAGAAGATTAAGACGGGTGAGCCAATCAGAGGATGGTCCTCTAGTGGTCATACTTTTCCTGCAGGGCGATTATTGAAATTGGTGGACAAAGCGATAGACAAAGAAGACGTAGGCACGTAGGGAGTATGGAGCGATCTTATTGATTGACATGGTTGGTTCTTATAGACTAAAGAAGAAAATTACTGTCGGGTCTTTAGTGGGTTGCCGTTAGTTAGTCCATTACCTACCTCCTATGTCCATTGCCACCATCTGCTTCCATCAATAGGATCCCTCCAAATACCTTTTGTCGTCTTTGTCTATTGCTTTGTCTATCAATTTCAATTATCGGCCTGCTGTAAAAAACTCAATGCAACCACAGGTAATCGAGATACTGCTGAATTTGGTAATCTGTTGTAGGTCACAACGTGGGTCTGGATGGGAGTAATAACAGCTTGTTCTACTTTCTAAGAAAAGCGGTGGACGAGATACGCGAGGGGCGGATCGAGGCCTGTCTCGTAGGATCCACGGATTTCATCCACGAGCCATTTTACAGTAAGGATTTTGTGGCCCTGGATGCACTCGCAGAGGATGGGGAATGTCTCCCTTTCGACGAGAAAGGTACGTAGAGTTGTTGCGATTAAGGACTCCGTTATTTACAGCAGCGGGCTGATTATTGAAAGTGATATACAAAGGGATAGACAAAGGAGATATAACAAGGACCTAGTGAATGATACAAAAACGATCTAAAAGCCAAATAATCGAGATGTTGCATGTGTGAGGAATTTGCGATTTGACTACTGATTTTTATGTAAAAGTTCGCGAGAAGCACGATGGTCCCACTGGTTTTCTCTGAAATCAACTCCCAAGCTCATAAATAAAAGCTCTCAAGTTGAGGCCAAAATGGAGGGGATATCCCACGCTTTCCTGAGAGTCAACGTCTACTTCAAGACGAACTCTCCATCAGGGCCGGATTCTCCTACTTGCTGCCCATGGGCCGCCTGTATTTTGCCGCCCCCTTCTCATTCGTTTCGAAGCATCAATAAAAACCATCAAGTGAACGTGTCAGCGGGGAGAGGTGCATAAGACGCGTTTACTCGTGTTGGACACATTTTTTGGGAAAGCCCTGTCAACAATACTAGCACAAGGTCACGGAACTTTGCGCGAAAGTCTTCGTAAACCTATCTCTAATGGACAAGGCCTTTCATTCATAAGAAATGAACGAAAAAATTATGAAAGAACAAACGCAAAATTTGGTTTAATGATTTTAACTTCCGCCGCCGCGCCGCGCCGCGCTGACAGCACCGTGTTTGGCGCAATGCGTGAAGTATTCATGCAGTCTTGTAGGCGCTATGCGTTTCACGCTGACCGCACTGTGTTTGGCGCAATGCGTGAAGTATTCGTGCAGTCTTGTAGGCGCTAATATGTGTTACATGCCGATTGCCATGCCGAGGACTTCTCCTTTTCATCTCAAGTCCTCGTCATCATTTCCCCCTAGTTCCAGGCCAAATTGTGTGTTTGGTTTCTCTCTTAACTCAACTAATTGAAGGTGCTGTCTCTTGTATCACTGAAAGACGACAAAAATAGAAATTACTATACTCTCAGAAAATGAGAGATTTTGTAGCCTTTTCTCGTTTGTAATTTTTTTTCCCAAATCCGATTTTTTTTATACCTACATTTAAAAAAAAATTGCAAAATTTGCCGCCCCCCTAGATTTGCCGCCATGGGCCGCAGCCCATGTGGCCACCCCCTTAATCCGGCCCTGCATGCAAAGATAGGGAGCAAATACATTGACAGGGCTTCAAATTTTTTTAGGGACTTCAAAACTGAAAACACGGCAACCCTGCATATCTTGCATGGAGAGTTTGTTTTGATGTAGAGGTGGGCTCACAGGATAGCGTGGGATATTCCCTCCATTTTGGCCTCAACATGAGAGCTTTTCTTGAGCTTGGGAGTTGATTTCAGAGAAAACCAGTGGCACCATCGTGTGTCTCGCCAACTTTTACACAAGAATCAACAGTCAAATCGAAAATTCCTCACACATGCAACATCTCCATTGATTGTATTCAACTTCATGATGTTATTCTTAATTTTTGTATTTTCAAAAAGCAAAGAAAGCACTTTTTTCACAGGAATTTGCATGTTTTTCGACGACACTATCCCACAAAAAACAAGTTCATTGTCCTATGTTTTAAGCTGTCCTTCAAAAATAGATCATCGCCGAGGAGGAGTCTAAAAATGAAGGAGGATGCTTGGGTGCATAAGTGCAGTTTTTGAAAAAAAATTGACATATTTATTATTTCAAGTAAAACTAGTCTTAATGCATATTCTGTGGAAAATTCCCTCCTAAATTCCACTTTTTAAGCGTAGAAAAGTCACTTCGAACTTCCTTTCGGCCATAAGTGTGCATGTGCATGTAATATCGAAACTTCAAACACGTATTTCTCGAAATAGTAAAAACTGCACTCGTAAGCTCTGTCCTCCAACCCCATCGAATGATGTTCTGAGGCTTTGAGATTAGCTATCCATTGACATGTTCTACTTTTCTTTTTAGCCCACGGCATGGTACGTGCCGACGGTGGAGTGGTGTTCTTTCTGCAAGAAGCCAGTAAGGCAAAACGATGGAGAGCCATACCAATTGGCTTCGACTACAAATTTCTGGGCAATCACTCACTTAACTACGTGCACCACGACACGGATCAGATGATTCAAATGCTCAAGAAATTTTACGCTGACTGCAAAGTTGATCCCACTAGGGTGAAGTACATCGAGGCTGACGGTTCTGGTATCAAGGTTCGTCGAACAGCAAACCGCAAAGCAACGTATCGGCCCAAGTGCAAAACCACGCATATGTTCGTTTGTGACGTTGCAGACTTTCTGTCAGGCTTCATGTTTTTCTTTGGAAAAGTAGTCAACTTAATTCTTTGAGAACACCCTTGATTTTTCCTCTCTATTAGCATTTTATTTCGTACAAATTCCAAGCTATGAATTTTGCTAGTTTCTTTTTGAAAAAATAAAATATGGGTGGAGATTTTGGAACACTGAATTGGAGACACGTGGTTTTGCTCTAAGGTCATGCTCGTCTTTAGGAAACTCGATAGAGTTAGACAACAACCTTAAGTTTGCTTTATCATGCAAAGACACCAATAGCGAGGATAATTAAACGGAAAAACTAATACTAAAAATTAATAAGCAATAAGGCTGGCTCTGGGCATTTGTGTTATCGTCAGGCAAATGGACCTTTAAAGTGGGAAAATTGTAAAATGAGATGACTGAGCGACAATTGCGACATTCATACACAGTTGTGACAGTTTAAAGGAGTTAGTTTTGCATTGTTTGGCCTAAAGAGCGCCAAAAAATTGACTCTTTGGCAGCAAATTAAATTTTAAGGAAACAAAACTTGCTGTTAAAATTTGCAGAAGCTGCTGCCACCCTTCAGACTGACTACGTCTAAACAATTCTAACATATTCATAAGCGTGAATTAAGGCTTGAAACTTTGATCAAATTTAAGATTTTGGGAGTATTAAAAAAGGTATGGCGTAGTGAACTGATGATCTATATTTTGCACGTCGAATCGATCAGTCTAGGAGTCTGAACACGCAATGTTGCTTTTGTTTGCAGTCGTTGGATGAGGCCGAAATGAAAGTATTAGCCAAAGTGTTCACCGAGAATCGTGCTGATGAGTTGCTGGTTGGCTCGGTAGCGAGTAACGTTGGACGCAGCGAAACCTCGTCAGGTCTCATAAGTTTACTAAAAGCCGTTTTGACATTCGAGAAGGGAACCATTCCACCTACCAGGAATCACTCGACTCCGAACTCAAAATGTCCTGCTCTGTCACTTGGCGCTATCAAGGTTCGTTCCATCACGAAAATTACTTTGATTGAAGAATAAACTTCCCGCTTTTAAAAATGAAAACCAACATCAGCGCAAGACAAATTGGATATTAAATTTTAATTTAAACGTTTGGTAAATAACTGAAGTTTATTATCCAAGAAATTGTGTTCTCTTTTTAGCAGACGGTACATAATTCATATATTGTCAAGATAATGTCAGTACTCTGAGAAGTATGATTTTCAGTGCACCAACTGTAGTTTATGTGATACTCTGATAAGGAAATATGATTTGGGGTGCTGAATATTTTGCTATATCTAGTAGCCCAATGAGAGAGGCTTATTTTGCAATGTTATTGGTTAGTAATGTCCAATGCGGACAAGCTGCCGATTGAGTTTTGATAAAGATTCCGATGGACGGAGTGTCTGCTCAGAGGACGCCCGTGTTGCAATTGTTGCATATCTGAAAAATGAAGGAGCTTTGCCAGTTGAAATTTAACACTTCGATTATCCCTAGTTGGACTGTTTAGCATTATGGATGAAGTGTCCGCGTCCGCCTTACTTCGAGGAGGTGAAAGCCTTGAGGGCTAGAATGGATGAAGCCTGGAGATTACTTGTGGTTAACTATTTTTTAAATGTTTGTCAATGGAAACTAGTCGAATCGATCTATGTCCAACCATTGTGTTATATTATATGACTTGAAGTTCATTAAACTTATGTTGAACATATTCCAATTTTTTTTTTATCCAGTCCTGATCATGGTGTATTCAACATTGCTTACAGATTGCAACAGAGGAGACTGAGCTTAAAGGTGATCTCATTGGGGTAAATTCGTTTTCTCTAGCTTCAGATTTCGCACACGGTTTGATCAAGAGGCCACCTCCGTGAGTTTCTTTCCTAAAAATATATATCCTTATTTGACAGGTATAGTGCAAGTTTAATTGAAGTAGGCAATAAGTGAATATCGGAGGTAAAACTACGAGACCACGTATCTCGTTTGCAGTGTTTAAAAATCTCCCCTCCCATTGCTTTTTCTTAAAAGAGAACATATTGAAAATCCTTGAAATGTTCATTGAGATTCCTTTGTGCAGAGAAGAAAAAATCACGGAAGTTTTCAAGAACTTACATTTAGTAGTTTTCCATTTAGAAGCTAAAGTATGATAGGAAGTCTACAGCAACGTAAAGCAAGATACGTATTCTGGTAGTTTCACTGTCAATATGCGCAACACGCGTTTATAATGTGCACCCCATGCACCCGTGCTACATAGTAGTTTTTAGTTGCGCCCGCACTCCTACTAACCGCTCTAGGCGTTATATAACGCTGTTTCATAAGTAGCAATTCCTTCGCAAAGACTGGGAAATCCCGAGTAAAAAGCAGGAGTGAAATATACTCTAGGAAGAGTAAAAGATACTCGTGTAAGAATGTAACGGACTCGGAACTGTATCCAAAGGTTTTTAAGTTAGAGAGTCAAAAGTATCAGCTGAATGATCATAAACCTATTTCGGGTCATTTTTGTTTGTTTTTCTAACATCTCGACTCAAAATGATCAGATTCTTAAACAAAACTAGGCGTCTTTTTCATCTTTTAGGGGACGCCCAGTGAAGTGGTGACGACAGGGGGTTTTAGAGGAAATGGGGGAGTGCCAACTCCCTGAAAGACTTTAGGAGGATAGGGGACTTTGCTGCCGTCTTGAGCAGAAAAGCCGTAACTCCACTCTAGATGTGCTCAGCTTTTTCCAAATAAAATGGTTTATTACCGGAAAACCAACGACCATTTATCCTTCTTACTTCTAAACTAACTGTGGCATACAATTGAGAATTCAAATTTACAAAATGAAGCATCGTGGTGATCAGGTTTTCTCGTAATAGAACACTATGCGTGAAAGTTACGATTGGAGTTAGGGCGTTTTTCTTGTGGACGGCAGTTTGGCGGCTGGATGTCGCAGAGCGCCAAAGAGCGGTACAAAAGCGGCTTTGATGCATGTCTCAAACAAAATACTCCCTAAAATTCTAAAGTTTTTGAATAAAATATTATTTAGGAAAACTACGGAGGAGCCTCAAGCGGAGCATCACGTATATTTTCTCTCTTCGCGAACGGAGGAGGGGCTGGAAAAAATCATGGACAGAGCTGCCAAAGTTCCACTGAGTCGCGACTTCACGGATCTCTTGAACGGAGTGTTCCACAAGCAGCTTTATGGACACTTCAACCGCGGTGTTATGGTCGTCTCTGAAACCGAGAAAACCATCATACGGAAAACAGGAGTAAGTAAAGTCTTAGGCTCTCTAGAGACGTCCATAATTGAACCGAGTTTATCAGAGAGGAACATGGAACAGTGTTCGAAACTCACCTTTGAGTTTAAGGAGCCATGCGGCGCATCAAGCCCGATTTTTAGGCGCCTTTAAAGATTTTTTAGGGGCCGAATTGAGTTTTTGCTTATATATTACGGCGCATTTAGTGAAAAGTTAGACGCAAGCTGTTTCCGTAACAGAACTAGTAAGTAACTGTAACTTGGGGAAGACAAAATCACTAAGGATGAAATCGTGAAGAATAGGAAAAGCTTTGACTTGTGGTGCTGAAAATTTCGAATAATCATCAAATATGAAAATTTAGATTTTTAGGGGGCAATTTTTAGGGGCCACGCTGGCCGGTTTTTGTAGGCGCATTTGGCGCGTTGGCGCCTGTGAGTCTCGAACACTGGAAAGGGACCAACCCACATTTTCGAAAAAATTAAGTTAAGAATACTTTTGAGTTCCACTAGTCGTATATTTTATCCTACCAAAAACTACTTTTGTTGGATCAGGGGGCCCTCCGGGATAGAAAATTAAATCTAGGGGATAATTGTCTCGCAGAAGCATTTATTTAGAACTATTCTGAAAAAAATGCAAAGCCTCCCAGGGCTCCCAAATCTCCTTTTGACGAGACCCAGCCCCACAGCTAGTCCACCCATGGTGGAAAAGGCTCTGAAGTGAAATGCACTTTAACTCCAAGATTTGTAGCAGCGTTTTTCAGACATGCAGCAAAAATTTATCCAAAAGGTCTAGCTGAAATTTTGCAAAAGGTTCTCCAAGTATCAAATTCATGTTTGGAGGCAGTTTGTCATATATTACTATTCCTTTATGGTTATATCGTAACCTTTCGGCCATCACGAGCACCATGCAAGGTTTAAAAGTTTCCACCGCCATTCTATATTTTACAAGAGAAATTGTTGGTTGTTTGTGTTTGAAAATTTCATTGAATTTTCTTTGTGCTGCCGATAAAATTCTGTGAAATTTTCGGAAAGCTTCGTTGAAAAATTCCTCTGTAAAAAAATAAAATGGCGGCGGAAATTTATAAACGTCGCATGGCGCTTGTGACACTTTGACCGGAAGGTGACGATTCATCATCCATCTAATTAAAGCGGTTGATTATTTGCGTTACAGCACGCTGACAGTTCACGGCAGAGACCTCTCTGGTTTTCATTTTCGGGGATGGGATCCCAGAAGAACGGAATGGGAAAGGCTCTGCTACGCATCCCTGTGTTCGCCGAGGCAATCGACAAATGCGACGCAGTTCTTACTCCGAAAGGGATCGACATCAAGCACGTATTGACGAGTCCTGACAAGACCGTGTTCGATGACGTCATACACGCTTTCGTCGGTATTACTGCTGTTCAGGTGACAAACTCAATATTAAAAATAAGATCCCTGGTAAAAATTGGCAGTAGAATCTGTGTTCCAAAATACCATAGACCTACAGCCGGCTGTAAGATTTCCAATAGCTTCTATAGCCGGCTGCACAATTTCTTATAGCATTCTATAGCCGATGGCGATTAAGCAACAGCCAGGCGATAAAGTGTATGCTAAATGTTACTAATTACGGATGCTAGGACTTAGTGAGTTTTTGGACTACCGCTCTATTTTTGGGCCGTAGTATCTTGATCTATTTTGCGCGGAAAGCTCCGTACTTTTGAAGGATGCCTGCCTTTCCTAATATGTTGGAGCGCCTTCAATTTCGTATGATACTGTGCAATACCTCTAGTGTGAAATAGTTGCTTCAAGCGCCGTGGCACGCTGCGGCGCGGCAGGCGGGCAGCTAGCGCGAAACGCGCATTGGCGCCTACAAACCTAATAGGGATACTTCACGCGTTGCGCAATGCGTGAAGTATTCCTGTTAGGTTTGTAGGCGCTAGTGCGCGCTTATCGCTGGCAGCACGCCGCGCGCCGCTTTGCTCTGTGTAAGGCTCCAATATATAATCTCGCGGAGTCAGCGTTTTTCAACTCATGATTTTGAAATGTTTGCACATCCTGTATGGATTACTCTCATTTTAATTGATGAAAAAAAAATATGTACTAAAGGAAAATATGATGTGTGTTTTGTAAATATTTTGATGGTTCCGTATCAAACTTAATGATTCTCAAAGCACACGAATTTCTACACAATTTCTTATAGCCTTTTATAGCCGATGGCGATAAAGTGTAAAGCCCGGCGATAGGAACTATAGCCTGGCTGTATACTTTTTTATCGCTTCGTATAGCCCGGCTATATGATTTGCTCCGATTTCTACAGCCAGCTATATGATTTTCTATTGCCTTCTCTAGCCGGCTTTAAGAATTACTATGGTATTTTGAAACGCAGCTCTCTATCGCCAATATTTACTAGGGATATCAGGACTTAGACAAAATGCGGGCCTTAAGGGGTCGTTCATTAAGTGCGCGAGGTCGCACAATGGAGAGAGTCAGTGAAAAAAGTCGGACTAAATGAGGAAACTTTATAAGCTTATATCACCGTTTAGACAAAATGTTGCGGTTTTGAAAGTGGACCCATTGGATCTCTCGTAAAATTTTCTTTCAGGAGCACTCCTGAAAATTGAGAATTTGATGAAATAAACAAAAAAAATTTGCAGTTTCAGTTGAGACGTTTATGTCCAACCTTATGCATTTACTCGATCCACTGTGCGCCGCAGGAGGAGAGGGTCTGTACCTGCGTTACGGGTGCGTTACAGGGGGACGGAAGATGCTCAGCTCAGGGATGCGCTCAGCAACGCCAGAATGGACGCGAGTTTTCGAAAATCTGAGATGAAAAATCAACGTAAGGAGACCGAATTCATTCAAGAGTCATAAAGGAGGGTATGAGCATCGTGTAAATTTTTTTTTGGAGGGAAGGGGGGAGGGGTAGTAGCAGAGTGCAGACCTGTGTTAAGAGTGTATTAAAAGGGAAAAGAGTGATGGTCTAAAAAGCCAATTTTTAATTTTATGTGTTTTATAAGCGGTCCCTGAGGTAGAAACTCTAATTATGCAGGACAGCAAAAACAAGGGTCTAGGTTAAAAAATGAAGATGATTTTATATTTTCGATGCTGAAAAATCCCCAATATCCCACGTAATACCAATTTCCAAGACGGTGCCGAAAATTTCAATGCGGAGCTGTACCAGAAGCAAATAAACAAATTTCGCAATAATGCTGGTTTCTTTTGAAAATTTAGGCAAAAAACGGATCTATCACGCTAAATGGCACAATCCTTTTTTTTTTTTTTTTTTTTTTTTTTTTTTTTTTTTTTCAAAAAAGTATTTTTCTGTAAAAACTGAAATGAAGCGAAGAGTATCCTAACCGTAGCCCGTTTTGTACCAAAATTTAAAGTGAAATCAGCATTTTAGCAAAATTTGCTCGATATCTCGTGTTTGCCTACTCCCGATATAGATTCACTTTGACGGTGGAGTTCACGCTTTCCCCGTTTTTGGCCGTCAAATATTGTACCTCTGTCATTGGTCCACTTTTTGGAATCTTTTCGTCCTATTTAGGACAAACCCCGCTAGACCAAGGATACACGTGACTTTCTTCTTTTCTGTTAAGTTCAACCCATTGTTCAATTTTAACCACGACAAGGAATACAAATGGACCGTCTTAGGCAGAGAGGAACCAAGCTACATCAGCTTTTGTCAATAATCGGATAGTTACATTTTTTACAAGAAAGTAACTGTGTAGATTTGTATGCACATTTCAGTGAATTCTCTGCCTAGTACGAGGCAAATTTCTTACAATTTTCATAAGAATCCGCGCAAACTTTCTCTATAAAAAAATTAAATTTCCTAGTTAAATTTGGCAATAGCTGATATGGCTTGATTCCTTTCTGCTGAACGCGGTCCAAATATAAGGCCTCGGAGAGCTTATGGTATTTAAATGGACCACAGAGGCGGATCTGCAATTTGGCAACACCGGATTCCTTCCGTTTAAACCTATGTTAAATAATCGATTTTTATCAGGAAATCTGGCCCTTCCAAGAATCGATACATTTTCATAGGTTTAAATTGAGAAAAACAATGTTGCCGATTTGCTGGATCCGCCAATGATGGACGATAAAATGAGGAAAATTATGTATAATTTCTTCTATGCACAATTATTTTGTAGCTATTTGTATAAAATGTTCACCGCTGCGAACAGGATTTGAACCTGTGCGGGCATAGCCCATTGGATTTCGAGTCCAACTCCTTAACCACTCGGACATCGCAGCCGCTGAAGATCCCATGCTACCAGTTTGCAAGGAAAAGTAACCATCTCATAATTACGCTCGCAAAGCTGTTACTCGGTGATAGTCATCGCGTGTGCATGTGCTACTTAGCGCGGCTTTGGAATTTCACGTCGCTGCCGCTTCGCGATTTAATATCCGAATTTTTACGCAGATACGATTAGTGCCCGTCTTTTAATTGGATGTGTTTCTGTCAAACGGACCTATGTGCATCAATTCATGAGCCCTGAGACTCATAAGAATATATGCGTAACAGGGCTCACGTCATAATGCATATACCTAGTTCCGTTTGACAGAAATACGTCCAATTGAACATGGCAACTTCATCAAAGAGTTGCTGGTTGTTTCTAATTTAAAGATATGACTTTTTGGAGTTCAGTGAGGTTCTTTTCTGCTCTTCCCCTCATCCTATCTGAAACCCTATGCACCAAAGTTGTTTCCTATTTATTCGGGGAAAGACAATCAATAACTGAGAAGCTATAGTCTGTCCCAGATACGAAGAGCCCTGGAAAATCAGAATAATTTGCACTATGTAGAAGCAAGGTATCGTTCGTTCTATTGTGCCCGACTAATCACCGAGCAAACCCCGCACCGTACAGAGGGTTGGTTATGAGCTCCGCGGCGCGGCGGCATCTTACGCCGGGAATCCGCTCCTGGACCTCGGGGAAAACCACCGCGGAAAAATGCGAAGGAAGTATGCATTGCCTCAAGGTGGCTTGCGACCCTCTGTGCGACGCATGTGAGAGGCGACGAGATGACAGGTGACGAGGGTCGAGGCACCCCAACCCGCCAAATAGTGCTAATTACTCTGATTTTCCAGGGCTCTTCGTATCTGGGACAGACTATACGTATTGATTTCATTGTCGGCCCCTTAGAGCACATTATGAACAACTAAATAAATTATTTTTTTTGATCGAATAAAAATATGGTGCATGAGCATAGGTGCGTACCTAGGTCATTTTGTATGGGGGGGGAGGGGCTAGCCTCCCTACCACCAGAGGGTATGGAATACCCCCCAGTTCAGAGGTAGGTCCGGGGGGGCCTTCCGCGGAAATGATGGTAAATTTTGATTTCTATTTGAACGCATTTTAAGGCTTCTAGCATGATGAAAATTACGGTGCTTTCATTTAAAACTATCCATTAAGAGAACTAATCATCCTTGACAAAGTTTTTTTCCCACAGTCCAGAATTACTATCGGATGATACTATTATTAATTCTAGGGGAGGGGGGGGGGCAGGCTCCCTGGACCATTCCTCCCTTCGTACACCCATGCACTAAACTGGACTACAACCAGGGACTATAAATGCTAGCTCAGTTTAGAAACAACGTATGTACCGTTAATGTCCCTATGCATTTAAAGTGCACTTAAAATGCACTTTTTACGGATGAGCCAGAAATTGGAGTTCCAAATTCCAAAATGTGACTCAACTTTAAGAGTGGTTAGCTGTAGGAATATAGCTAGTGATGTGAATAAGAGAAATTGGACGTATTTTTGTCAAACGGAACTAAGCGCCATAGGGTGAGGAAGGTAGAGGGGGGGTTGATTGGCGGCGGAACCGGGCGTCGGGCTCATTCCACCCGCTTAGTTCCGTTTGACAGAACGCGCTACTCGGCATTCTAAATGCCTCAAAAGGAACTCAAATTTGCGCTCAGTTCCGTTTGACAGAAATACGTCCAATTAATAAAACTACAGTAAGGTATAGCTGATTAAACGAAAAGCCTTACATATTCGATCGATGTGGAACACCAACCAATCGCCTCCTATACGGGCGACTTTTACATTTCTGTTTGAATGTGTTGCTTGATCGATAGACCCTTCATAACAAAATGAAAAAAATAAAAAAAAAAAAAAATAAATAAAAAATAAAAAAGTCGCATGTTTGTCCACAGATCGGGCTGATTCATGTCCTGCGGAGTTTGGGAATCGAGGGTGACAAATTCGTGGGTCACTCGCTTGGCGAGCAGGCGTGTGCATACGCCGACGGGGCCCTCACACTGGAAGAAGCCATCCTCTGCGCTTGGGCCAGAGGGTACGCCTCCCAAGAGGCTGCCCGTACAGGGACACTCATTCCCGGTCTCATGGCCGCTGTTGGTGCGTTGCATCTTCGCCAGATTAGATAGATACTAGGGGGCTACGCCCCCTGGCCGCTACGCGGCCCAACCCCCCGAAGGCGCTCCGCGCCATCAATGGGCCGCTTCGCGGCCCTATTTTTACCCTCCTATTAGTATTAGTTTTATTTTTCCCCTAAAAAAATTCGATATGAGGTATACTTAATAGAATGAAATAATTTTTGGTTTTGATGAATAAAGAAAAAAAAAATTTTGAAATCAAAAGGACGCGTTTTGGAATGACTGCTTGATGAAATATTACAGTAAAACAACGATCTGTTTAAATCGGATAATTAATAAGTATATCTGGATGCGGGGATCGAACCCACACCTTCATCAGTGTGGACATTTCCGACGTCGTAGACGACTCGGCCACCGCTCGTCATGAGGAAATCGGCGGAAATCTTGTGTACATAAGTGTAGAGCTGATGCGCAGGCTACACACCTACTGCGCAACCTCCTCGACCACTGCGCATCCTCCCGCGCATAGCGGTAGCAGTCCCGGAGCACTCTGTAAATTCACTCACTTTAATAACGTGATTTTAAAAAAACTTGGGTCCTTTTTCCAAAATCTGATTAGAGCGGGCTCATCTAGAGCCTATTACCTGTCGATTTACGCAAAAATCATGGAAATCGGCCCAGTAGAATGCTCAAACGAACTATGACAAAACACATAAATTTACATTGTTTATATGGGAGAATTCGCAACTTTACCATGTAATATAAAAAAACCTGGGCCATATTTTCAAAATCTGAAAAGAGTTGGCTTATCTAGAGACAATTGCCCGTCAATAGCCGCAAAAATCATGAAAATCGGCCCGGTAGAACGCTGGAACTAAGCGTCACCAGTTTCGCAAAATTAGGAGGTCTTGGAGCTTATAGTATAGATATCCGTGCTATACGGATAACGCCGTATAGAGATTCAAAGATTGCAAAATATCTCCCGATGACGTACACGGAAAAAAATAGGGTAGTCGACATAACCAGCGGCTGGTTAAAAATGCGCCAGCTATCGTGCGGTAGATGTGACCTCCACCGCGGTAGTTATCGTAACTACCGCACGGTAGCTGGCGCAGTTTTAACCAGCCGCTGGTTGTGTCGACTACCCTATTTTTTTCCGTGTATGAATTTTGAGGAACGTCATGTATATTTTTCCTTGAAATTTTGATATTTTTAAAATCAAAAATTGCGAAGTATCATCTCTGAAAAATTGGAGGAAAACTGTGCACAAAAGTTCCCAGAAAATCTCTATTCTACTCTAAAGATTTTAGTGACAATGTCTTGCAAATAAGACGGTTTTATTTAGCACAGCGGCTTAAAAAACTAAAGATACTCTCCCTTGGAAGAAAGGACTTAATTGCCGAAAAACTAAAAATTGTTTTGTATTTACGTGCCGACGTATTTTTGAGAAACTTTCTGTATATGTATCCATGAAATTTTTAGATTCTTTGAATTAAAAATTGCGAAATATATACCAACTCTCCTGAAATCATCCAAGTTTCCCAGGGAATTTCTGTAGTATAAAAAGCAAATGTGCTCCTCCCCTGAAAAAATGACCAAATTGCCGAAAAATTTATGTTTAGAAACTAAAATATTGGCCGAATCACACACAGGAGTAAATCAAGAACATTCTGTCCCAAAAACTGTCCTAAAATGAAAAAATGATAGCATTATGATTATTTGTAATTTGCAGTTTTTCAGAACTTATTTGAGGAGAAGCTGTATAAATTTTGGAACTTCACCAAATTTAATCCCCTGAAAATTTGGAGTGTATTGTAGGGTCCCATATCCCATTAAATATCCAGCATTTTTGTCCGTCTTTTCTTTCTTTTTTCTTTGGTAATATCCAAAAGAAGAACATTAACTATACACGGCACTATCGATTGCAATCCGTAAAAAAAAGAGTTCTGTTCGTTCAATCCAACGTCGATCATGGGAACCAAACACATCAATAATTAACACTTATCGACAAATTGAGTAGATCATTTAACTTTTAAACTTTTAAAAGTCAATTACACATCTATCAATAATATTCAGTGTTTTTATGAATAACTGCAGGTGGGTTTTTTTTATTTCTCACTCTCTTTATCAAACTGTTTCTCCCCTCCCTACTGTAGGTCTTGGGTACGAGGACATAAAGGCTAGACTGCCAGAGTCCATCGACGCTGCATGCCATAACTCAAATAGTAGCTGCACTATATCGGGCCCAGCGGAAGATGTGAAAGCATTTGTCGAAAAGTTAAAGGCAGAAGAAATTTTTGCCAAGGAGGTCAACGCTGGCAACATAGCGTACCATTCGCGATACATTACACAGATAGGAGAACGACTTAACAAGCTATTAAAGGAGGTAAATATATTGAAGTATGAATGCTCTTATTCTCCTTTCTCGTATACCCTTACAGAAAAAAAATGAAGTACAAAATAGACTAGTAGTGGGGGAAAAACTTCAGTTTCATTTTTCGAGCCGAGCGATTTTGATCATGGTAAAGTTGCAAAGTTTTGACCTCTGTAGTTATTCAAATGACAGCATATCATGAATGGAGATTTCTGACGTCACAATCGGAGATATGCGTTTTCCGATTTTAGTCAGCAATATTATCGCAGCCTAGGTTAGAGTGTTGAAACATGTATGATTGCAACGTTTCAAAATCTTCCCTGCTGCTTCAATTTTTGTAGAGAAACTAATCAATATAACTTTTTGAAACTTTCAATAAAATATGCAGAGACATTTGCAACATTGCAAATGGCAATAATACATGTTCCTGAACTTTGAGTATGAAGACTCCTCCTGTATTTTGAAATAAGTTCCTTTGCTGCCTTCCCTTGCCTAAGCTTTGTGACGTCATCTGGCGGAATCCCTCATATAAACACATGTATTTTTGCAGATTAGGTTATTTTGTCATATTTCCTCCAATAATTGTTAAATTAAGAAACCAAGAATATCCTAGTGCTCAATTCTCCTAGAAGTTTAATTTTAAACATGTTTGCAAAATTTTAGACACCTGCGGATTCTCCACTCTGATTCACGAATGTTAGGGCATTGGCGGATCCAGCAAATTGGCAACATTGTCTTTTCTCCATTTAAACCTGTGGAAATTTATCGATTTTTGGAGGGGCCAGGTGCTCCGACAAGAATCGATTATTTAGCATAGGTTTAAATGGAAGTAATCCGATGTTGCCAAATTGCTGGATCCGCCTTTGAGTTAGGGCTCTCGCTTTGTACAAATTGAGACTTACGAGTATAATATCCGCCTTTGTCTTTTGCAGATCTTGAAAACCCCTCGAGAGCGATCCGAAAAGTGGATCAGCACCTCGGTGCCGCGCGCGCGTTGGGGTGAGGAATCCGCCAAATTGGCGGGCGCCGAGTACTTCACCAACAACCTGCTCAGCTCGGTGCTCTTCGAGGAGGCCTTCGCGGAGGTCCCCGCTGATGCCGTCATCTTGGAGGTGGCCCCGCAAAGTCTCCTCTTGCCCATCCTCAAACGTGCCTTCCCGACCTCCGTCACCAGTCTCTCGCTCATGGGCCGCATCTCCGAGGAGAAGCCAGCTTTCGTCCATTTCCTCGGCTCTATTGGAGAGTGAGTGCCATATAATTCATAGTCATTCCTGCGGGCTGATTGTTGAAATTGGTGGACAAAGATAAAGACAAAGAAGACATTGGAAGTACAGAGCGATCCCATTGGTTCAAATGGGTGATTCCTATAGACTAAGGGAGAAAATGATGGATACTACAGCGGGCCGATTATTGAAAATTATGGACAAAGCAATAGACAAAGAAGACAACAGAGATATGGAAGGGTCCTATTGATGGAGGCGGGTGGTTGCAATGGACAAAGGAGGTAGGTAATAGACTAACTAACGGCAACCTACGAGGAACCCGATAGTTAGTCCATCATTTTCTCCCTTAGTCTATCGGAACCACCCATTTCAACCAATAGGATCGCTCCATACTCCCTATGTCTTCTTTGTCTATAGCTTTGTCGATCAATTTCAATAATCGGCCCGCGGGGTCCCTCGTGGGTTGCCTTTTGTCTATCTATTACCTACCTCTTTGTCCATTGCAACCACCCACCTCCACCAAAAGGATCTTCTCATAGCCCTTTTGACCACTTTGTCTTTAGCTGTGTCCATCAATTTCAACAATCAGCTTGCTAAACAGTCTTTGCATGATACTAAAATTCATTTGGTCATTCAATAAACAGCCGCTTTTCCCGAGAAGGCTCCATGAGGCGCACTTTGTGATAAAAGAAAGTTAAACTAGACATTTAACGAGTAACTGGAACGATTTCCGGGAACTTTGAGTAAAATTCAAAAATATCTGTTTGGTTATAGATCGTTGGAAGGATTGAAATAATTTGTCACTGCAAGAAATGCTAAGACAAATTTTACGGCTTCATATATTTTATGGAGTGTGCAGACCTGATGCAATATTTTTAAAACCTGTAATATTCTTACTTCTTTGGTGTATGTATCTTTTTTCCTTGTGACAAATCACTGGATTTGCTCGCAAAAATCTATTTTCAAAGTTATTCACTGTTGAATTTTACACAAGGCTCCGTGAAAAAAGTTTCTATTATCAACGCCTAATATCTAAAACGCATTCAACTGTGTGCATATGCAACACAGGTGCCTCTCCTCGCCCCCACAACGAATGGTTGCATCAAGGCACAAATATCGCGATGTGACGACGACATTACGATCTTAGCACCTGGATGCAACTATTCGAGCGCGAGGTATGTGCGTGTTGCATATGCACAAAGTGGAAGGCGTTTTACGCTCCCCTGATCTCATGCCATGAATAAAGGACAACTTTATATCTTTCGTAAAATTCAAGAGTAAAACATTGGAATTTGCTCCTTGTAAGGAAATGCAATGGCAAAGGCGGATCTAAACACTTCGAACGTGAGAGGGTCGGGAGGGGGGGGGGGTGGCTACTTCCCGAGTATTTTCGAAGGTAAAAAGTATAAGTCAATTTTATGATGAATATTCACTAAATACAGGGTGTTTCAGACCACCCATACCAGGCCTTTTTCTCGGTCGGTATAGGTCGTACGAAGTCGGAAACCGCGGGGTTGAATAGGGAATTGACCCCAAGAAATCCGAATTTCGTGGTCCCGGAACCCCCCCACCCCCCTTGGGGGGTAAAGGGGGGGTCACGATGCTAAAAGTCACGGTTCCCGACCGAATTGCGGATAGATCGCATCAGAATTGAAAAGCACGGAAAATTTCACGTGGAATTGACCCCTAAAAATCCAAAATCGGACCATCCAAGGCCCAAAAATGACCCCCTAAAGAGGGGGACAGTACGCCCCCCTCCATAATTTCTCTTTGGTCTCAAAATTGACGTAAATTCTCCAGAAAAAGACGGTTTCCCAGGTAATCGACCTCGAGAAATCCAAATTTCATGGTCCCGAAGCTCCTTTAGCCCCCCTTGGGGGGTAAACGGGGGGGCCCAATTTTAAAAATCGGGGCTCCTTTCCGAATCGCAAATTGATTGCATCCAAATTGAGGAGCAGAACACATTTACATCTTAAGTGACTCCTGAGAGTTCTAATTGACCCCCCTGAACGGCAGAAAGTAACCCCCTGAGGAAGGGGGTCTCGCCCCCGCCAAAAATTTCTCAGGATTCCTCTTTGGTTGCAAAATTGACGTCGATTCTCCAGAAAAAGACGGTTTCCCATGTAATCGACCCCGGAGACTCTAAATTTCATTTTCCTTGAGCTCCTCGGGGGAGAGGGGAGCTTGGATTGACGGGTGATGCGGAAGCGATGCTCGTTTCGTCCTATACTCGCAATGCTTTTCCATGGCGCTTAGTTCCGTTTGATAGAACGCGCTATCCAGGATTCCAAAATCCTCAAAAGGAACTCAATTGGCGCTTAGCTCCGGTTAACAGAAATACATCCATATAAGCGTCCTCCTCTTTTCTTTCCTCCGTTCCTTCCATTTTCCTTTCTATTTCTTCCCTTTTTCTTCCTCCTTTTTTTCCGGCGAAGAGGGGGGGGGGGTGCCAGGGCTTACGCCCACTGGGCCCCTAGGATCTGCCTACGCATTTGGCAATCCTATGTTAAAACTCGAAACTCGAATGAATTTTTCCTGTTCCTCTCTATTTTTTAGACTTTATCTGCTGGGATACGAGCCGAACCCTGCTGGTTTATATCCCCTGATCAGCTATCCAGTTGCAGCTAGTACGCCAGATTTAGCTTCGTTCGTCACATGGGAGCACTCGTTCCACTTTGATGCCAAGAAGTTCTTGCTTGTACCTGATGTAAGTGTTTGTTGATCATACTGGTAACTACCGGTATGTGCAATTTTTGTGTACAGTCCTATGAACGATCGATGAAATTTGGGGAAGTTTCAGAGGAAAGTGTTGGAGGGGAAAGTTCACAAATCATCGAGCTGATTTTAACATAGGAACCGAATTTAAATGGAGATAAAATGGCTACCACTGATTTTCCCTGTGCAGATAAGTGTATTCATGTACGAATGTACTCCGCCACTCCTCTGCAAACGTTTATAATTCCCAAACATTCGAAATTAAGGCCCAACTGGATTACATTTTTCAATTAGGAGTTAGAATTCCTGGCTCATCCGTATAAACTCATTTGTGCATAGGGGAACTAATGGCGCATGCGTTGTTTTTAAGCTGAGTCAGAAATGGTAGGCCCAAATTGCAAATGTAGTCCAAATATCATTGTAATTTTTCAACTTCGAACTTATTTTAAGAAAACTTCCTAAAAATTACAAAATGGTCCTTCATGTTCTCACAGAACATCATAGTCTATCATAGTCCAATTCAATCGTCTATTGTGATCTCAGATCAACAATCCACTGCTTAGGTGCATTATTAGGCGTTTGATACACGAGGAAAACTTTTCTTACTTAATGCTAATAGTTTCCTCCATCAAATTCAGAAATCCAGTCAAATAGATTTGCAAAATAAGAATTACCGTTGTCCCTATGAAATTGGATTCTTATTACAACAATAGGAGTCCTAGTTCTCTCAAAAAGAAATTCGACGAGGAAATATTGACAGGACTTTCTTTTAGGCGCTTTGGGGAATTTTTTCCGTGTATATATCGTTAATTTAAAAAGTTGACACTGTATAAAAAGTGAATTTCAACGTTTCAACAACTTATTTTTTTGCCCATTATTTCATTTTTTTTAGGAGTGTGAACTGATGAGCGCATCTCAGGAGAAATCGATGGATATGATAATGATGCAATTGAAAGAGTTCAGACACTTGTTCGAGGGTCATGTCTTGCTGTCCCGACCGATGATCCCTCTGTCTTACTTCCTTGTAAGTTTTCTACTGTTAATATTAGTCGTCGTGTTTCCTTCAAGTAATTAAAATGTCTGTGAACATAGGATGAAAGGTAAGGAATGAAACATGTAAGCTTGTACATGAGCTAGCTCTTTTGAATGGGTCAGTTGCGCTAGTCATAGAATTATTTTTTGATGTTTGATTCTTGTAGATCAGCTAAAAACAAGCAGTGAACTCCAACACAATGTGTTGATAAGGCGCGTCATTAACTCGCACATATCAACCCCTTTAGTTTTCATTTACAGAGATTTCAAAATAGGCAAACAGCATAAAAAGAGAATTCACGATCCAACACTGCGAGGTCAAAGACGCACCTTGACGAGACCGTGTATTGTGAAAGTAGAAAGCTATTCGATCGAATTTAAGTTTTTTGATCTGCCTCAAGCAAAATCTTATCAGATTCTTGAAGAAAAGTGCTACGGAATAATTTAAGCGAAGAAAGGAAAAATTCTGTCGAACTCCTAGAAGATAAAGTCGATTTAAAGGTATTTTGGGGCTAAAATACCCAAATCACCGGTAGTAAAAATCCCGTTATATTATTGAAAAGAAATTGACTCGATATAAATGCAATTGCATTAAATACGTCTTGATTTTGTTATTTTAAACGTCTTTCCATGCAAAGAAGTTCAACCATGTCGTTGCTTTATTCATTCATGAATTGAAAGTAAGCAATCTACATCCCGAAAATCTACTGATTTGCCGTAAAAAATTGCAGAAACTTGATATACCAGGTCGATGCACCCACTCGTTGAATTTACCAACCAATTTTGTGAGTGCAAATGTGTAAGAATCAATATGCTATAGTCATTTTGGGTGCATTTATTTTTCATGAAACAATAATAATTTCAATCCCGAAAAACCATCAATTTTCCGTATAAAATCGAAAAAATCAAAATATGTCAACTCCCCGACGTGAAAATTAGATTCTACGTATGTAAAATGTAAATACTTATGTATCGATATGCTGAACAGAACTATGTGTGGACAGTCAGAAGCCCGCGGCAACATTAATTCAACAGAAAAACTGTAAAAATTAGATAGGATTTTAGCCGCTTTGCCCGCCTCTCCTCGCTACTTACAACAAACCGTTCTTATACTCATCTCAAAATTTTTCTCAGAGCTTTGGGTTATTATCAGCTTCCATTTAAACTCCGGTTCGATGGCCGAATCGGCTGCCAAAAAAGCAAGCCACTGTTGAGGGGTTCTATGAGAAATTCGTGATATTATCGGCTCTCAGGAAATCACCCCATGGCTAAAATTGGTGGTATAAATGTTTAAGTGCTTAAAATAATCGTATTCAAGAAACTAAGGAATTAAACTATGGAGTCAATTTCTTTTTAATAATATAACGAATTTACTACCGGTGATTTAGCTATTATAGCCCCAGAATACTTTTAAAGCGCCTTTGCGTTCCAGAATCTCGACGGAATTTTTTTTTTTTTTTTTTTTGCTTAAACGATTCAAGAAACATTGTAGTTAAAAATATAAAGATTTTTCGATTTGGACGTATGAAAAATGTTTAACTCGTTCAGGCACACCGTGTATTGTATGGAGTACTGCTGTTATTCGACCGTTGTCTTCAGGTCAAAATTCTTACAAAGAAGCCCCTTGCAAGAGGCAAATTTTTTGTAATTTCTCCCAGTTTTTTCAGCGTTAGGTATATAAATGAATTGTTTGTCAAATTTTGAGGTCAATTATATTTAATTGTAATTTATACTTTCTTTTTTTCCCCTTCATTTTATTTTTCGTATCGAGGAGTCGAGGTTTTGTTGATTTCTTCGGATTTCGATTACTGTAACTTCTCTTCTATTCGGCCGATTTTTATGAATGAGGTCTCTTTTTATTTGTGTTTTAACGGAGAGTAAGGAAAAAATTGCTAAATACATGCGAAACAATTTTTTTTGAAAATTGGATGAATCCTAGCGTGACGGTGAAATGGTTAATGAAGCGTGAGTAATTGGGGTACGGGTATCGGCCGCGTTGGGACCCAAGGCCCATTGTTCTTCGTGACGCCGACGCAGTGATCAGGAGCGTGGGGACGAGAGGGCTTAGTGGACTCCTGTATGAGCCACGTTTAGCAAATGGTCTAATGAGTCTCGAGGCTCATCACAGATTGCACTTACCACTATCCTGGTGGCCCCGGCTATCAGAGCAAGGAGTACCAACTTTTGAAAAGGATAACAGTGTTGTGGAGATATGTCAAAGCAACGTTGTGAACAAAACGGAGTGAGTGAAATTCTCATTCAAGGAGTGCCGAACTGGTCAGCCATCCTCGAATCAGTTCGCTTGCTTCCGCTTATATATGCATATTTTAAATCAGCGCGCCCCATTCTAAGGTTTTTTTAAAAAAAACCAAGAAACGTAGACTCTTGGTATTCATTACACATAAACTAGCGAGCCCCAGAATGAGAAACAAATTTTAATCATTATTATTGATGGATTAGTAAACTTTTTACACGCCTTGGAAAATCTCAGAAGTTCGCGGTAGTCACTTTTCGGTAAGGAACTAGGGGACTCGGTTATTGTATCGAGGGGGGGGTCGAAACGATCGCAAAGGCGGTATACTACGTATACGCGCCAATAATAAGATACGTCCAAACAGCAACTCGCTACGTACAATTGTAACCGAGATATCGCGCATTCGAAAATTCGGTTTATGACGTCATCCACCGCGGTTGTGACACCCTTGGTTTCTTCCACCTTGCTTTCATTCGATATTCATCTCGAGTAACCAGTGCAAATGTGTGTCATCCTGACAAATGAAAGCAAGATGGAAGAAACCAAGGGCGTCGGGATTGCGGAGGATGACGTCATTAAATGAATTTTTCAAAGCGCGATATCTCGAGTAATATTGAATGTAGAGAGTTACTGTTTGGACGGATCTGATTATTTTCAGCTAATCTAAAATTATCAAGCGTCGAAACAGGATTGTATGACCAGCGTATATAACCCATTGTAAGCTCGTAGCAAACGTAAAAGTATAATCGAAATTCACAGGCAGATCCAAGGGGGCTGTAGGGGGCGTATGCCCTCCCTTTGCCTGAGAAAAAGAGGAAGAAAAAGGGAAGAAATAGAGACGCAAGGAATGGAGGAGGGAAGGAAGAGGAACGCTTAAACTTGGTAATTTTCCATGAAAAAATTGACTCAAACTGCATATTAGATGATTAAAATTTGGTGGTTTAAAATTGATGGTTGAAAATTTTTTAGGGGAAACCCCCGGACCCTCCCTCCTCCCCTCGCGTACGATGTGACTGGACCCGCCTTGGTCATAATCTTACAGAATATCATGAATTTTTGAAATTTTGAACGAATTTTTCTTTTATAAAAAAAAAAAATTGCCAGAAACATGCCTAACACAGGAAACATATAAAAACATATAAGGCATATAATAACATATAAAGCGGAAGCAGACTTTCCGAATTGCGCAATAAAGGCGTTTATGGTCACAGCATTCGCGTGCTTTATAAATCATCGTTCTTAGATATCGGATTTTATACATAAAATGGCTGTAGCATCAAGTAATCTGACGACCTAAACTCGAAAAATCTTTTTTGTGATGATTGTTTATATAATTTAAGAGAATATTAACGCTTCGGACATAATTGCTTGTTTGATTTTTTTCTCCCTCATGTAGAATGAGATTTGGTCGCTGTTGGCACCGAAGGGTAGATTCAAAAAAAATTTCGACGAAATAACTCCACATTTTACCGACATTTTGGTGCATTCTTCAATTTGGATGGATGATCTTCCAGGTGAGGTATTAGGCATCAATTTTAAACTGGCTATTTAGTACTGACTTCAATGAGGCTGGTTGTATAACCATACAGGATACTTGACCATTCGTCTTTGGAGATGTTTATTTGCCTATCCGATAATTTAACGGAATTTTTTCCGAAATCAGTGCAGACCAAAACTGAATTTTAATTTTCTTACGAATTAAAATATGATAGATTAAACCATGAGTCCAGTCAATGTTGGTGCCTACCATGAAATATAATCAAATGAACCATTCGCCGAGTATTTAAGGCCTATTTCTTTTCAACCCAGCTCTGCTGAAATGCTGGTGAACCGTATCATATTTTTTGGTTGTCATCAAACTTAGCACTTTATGCTTCAATTTACATATGTCATCCTTTTCAACATGATAATGAGTAATGACTCACCAAGTAGTATATTGATCCACGTATCCTGAAATTTGCTGTGTTTTGCAAACGTACACTTACTTCCTTTTCCTCTATATCCTACATTAATATATGAGATTTACAAGAAAGATAGATATCGAAGAAAGATAAGATATATAAAAAAAATCTAGGAAGTTTTGTAGAAATTATTTTAAAAGGTTTTCCAAGGAAACAACAAAGTAGGACAGAAGTCTGTAACGTCGCAAACGGAGATCTCACGGTTTCTCACTTTGGCCATCGATTTGTTGAGGTCTCACTCACAAATTATTATTCAGGGAAATAAAAACTAATTATTTTTTGCTTCCTCCTCGATTATCTCCAAAAAAATCTCAATGAAAGGACCTGGAGTTTGTGCACCTTCAACACATTTTACAACACCGAATCATAAATGATTTTTTTAAAATTCTAATTTAATTATTTTGTATTTTTTTTTTTCATCACAGAGGAAGCAACTATGGTTATTCAGTTAAGCCCAGCGTCTGGCTCGTTCGAAGTGTGCTTGGCCTATCGGGAGGAGAAAACACTACCACTGAAAGGTGACGTCATTGTGAGCGGAAAAGCAGCCATATACGAGAAAGATTTCGAAAAAGAACGATGGTGTTGCGAGCATCCACCCACGTCTTCTGTCAGGAGGACTCTCAACATTCAAGATTTGAAGAATGCTTACGGTGCTAAAGGCTATGATTTGAGCCCGGAATTCCAGAATAATATTAGTGAACTACAAATATATGACGAGGGTAAAAATAACCTTTTCTTTGACCTCAATATTCTAAATTTATGGGTAAAGATGATTCCCTTTAGGTGTGTGATGATTTTGTTCAACATCATGAGCATTTTCATCAAGAGGGTCCCATGCAAATTGTAAAAAGGTAGTTGATGTGAAAGGACTCTACAGCAGTAGATGTTAGGGTCACACTGTCTCTTGATAAGTCTCACCTATTCAGCCGTGCTAAGAAAAAACTACTCAAGAGCATTCGAATTTTGACAAATTCGCTCTCAGAAAATATTGATTACTGAAGAAAGTTATAAATATTTTTCCTCTCTGAAATATTGGAAGAAAAATATTTACAAATTTTCCAGATAATTCATGATTTGTCAAGGGAAATTTGGCAACAACTAAAGGCTCATACCGCGTTTTTCTTTAGCACGGCAGTATTGAACTACCAGTTCTACATATATTTTCAGAGCAGAGATATTGCTCGCTATATAATTATGAAATCCATGAATTCTGAGTTCCAAAAAATCATTGATTCTGAAAAATCGAATCAACTTTCTTAAAACATATATGAACTCACGGTAGGGTATTTGAGGCAACATTTTTCGTACAGAAGGAAATTATAGACGGACGTATTTCTGCCATACGGGACTATGTGCATTATGACGTGAACCCTTGTATGCATATATTCTTATGGGTCTCAGGGCTCATGGCTTAATGCACATAGTTCCGTTTCTCAGAAATACGTCCATAATTTGTAATGCGCTGTTGCAGTTTCCGTAGGGAAGCTTACTTGGAAGAAAAATTGGCAGAGCGTGTTTGATGGCGTCATCAAAGCCGGGTTGTTGATCAACGTTGACAGCACAGAAGTAAGCTGTCCCGTGGCTATCCAGTCCCTCATTCTCAAACCGGACGATATAAAATTCATGGACTACGGTAATTTACGACTTTGTAATAGTATTTCAAGTATTCCATAATAAATGTAATAGTATTTCAATTATTCCATTATTCTTGTAGTAGTAAAGCGGTTACAATTTTTACTAAGAGAAATTGCGAATTTCGTGACTTCACGGTCGCATTATTTATCATTTGGATTTTTGGATTCATTAAATTTTGTCGATTCATTTATATACCTCCCATGGTCTCCTATTGTGCAATGGCTATAGCGCTGACTCCCAGAATCGGTCTGACTCGAAAATTCTTGAGGTGCTGATACGGTTTCCCCTTAACTAACCTAAAGCCTTTCTTAATGTAGGTTTTTCAAGTTTTGGAGGTCCCCTAGAGGAGTCCCCCTGGCCAAAGGGAGGGGTGGGGGGAGGAGTGGCCAGGTACCCTGAGAAACTTGTCAGATTTCTGTGGTACTGAAGCACCCTAGCACCCCTGGCTAGACCGCCCCTGCTGATTTAATAATCAGGAGGTCCCAGGTTCAATTCCCGGCCAGGACACCTGCATGAGTTTGATGGTCTCAATCGATGCTTGTCTGAGGCTGGTGAATGTTTAGGGATTGCGGGGGTTAGGGCTACACCGAAAAAGTGCAGGATTGTCCCCTCGGGGGTATTTGAAGTATACATGCATAAAAAAACCTCTTAAAATACATGAAAAGTATAGATATTACCCAGCTCACCACGAGCACACCCTATCTTTCCACTTGTACATTGTTCCTTTCAGCATAAATACGGCTAATTAAGCTGATTTATCTACTCCAACGGGTGCATGTTATACCTCGAAATATGAAGAGTCCGATTTCTTATCCTCGTGTGACTTTTCATTCTATTTTTGTACACTCTTTTTTGTGCCCGGTAAAGTAAATCTAGTGATTATATTGCAGGAAAACATTTAACATCCAATTTAATCGATGGTGGAACAAAAATAAAGTTCATTTTTATTCACTCGTGTCATCCTTTGCAGGCTCTGAAATTGCATTCACTCTGGATCGACGTCAAAATGTGCTAGTTGCTGCGGAAGGAATCGAGATGAAAGGACTCATTTTCAAAGCTCCACCAAAGAGGGTCTCTGTCTCCCAGACTTTAGAATGTAGCGAGTTTTTACCGTATTTCACTTCAAACTTCCAGGTAAGGGTAATCGTTCTACATATCTTCTCCGAATCTGCTTTATAACCTCGGTTGAACTATTGTAAACTCAACGTTTTGATATCTTTATGAAGATTGTCATAACAGCTCATGGTGACTTCTCCGTAAGATTGAGTATTCTTTCAATCGATCAGGCATGGTATTGGAGCTACAAAAAAACGCAACCCTTTGTATCACGTTGTATGCTTATTCCATGTGTTCAAATTTTGCATTTATGGTCTATTGGTTATTTTTTGGTGCAATATTTGTTTTAAGAAAACGTGCTTCTCGACTCAAGTATCTAGTATTTATAGACTGTCATGTTGAAGGGGCAGAAAAAATAAGTCAAAACTTTGCCTTTATTTTTGCCCAGCAAGAAGAAGAATTTCTCGGCGCAGCTTTGGAAATAATGTTGAACTGTTGTCCAAGTCACAAAAAAGAGACGCATAAAATAAACATCTGTGAGTGTGGTAACTTATCGAGAGAAACTGGAATCCTGAGTGATCTCAAGAGGACGGTCCAAAGGCACTTCTCAGCGGAGGTATTTAAATACTTCTATCTACTCTTCACTTTTTTTTTAAACTTTGCTCAAAATTTAATGGAAATGTCCTGAAAGTTAAAGATTGGCAAGAAGACGTTCTTCTTCGGCGAAGGGGGGGGGGAGGCTTCTACAAAATTTGTAATTAATTCATCCCTTTGCCACCCATAAAAATCGAGATTTCTACAAGATTGGAATCTCCTGTTACATTTGAAAGTTGATCAGTGTTTTGCAACAATAAATGATCGGCATTGTGGAGTTTCTTTCAATAAGCACAAAAAAATCTAAATTCTGCAGGAAAAAAAGCTTATTAAATGAGAGACTCACCCTGTAAAGTTCATATTTTGATCTGTTTTCAGTCAAATCATTTCAAACGTAGAAGTTTCACAATATAGCAAAATTCCGATGTCAGTAAATCTGTATCTCAAAATGTAGCTCCGTGAACATTATTTTCTTTTATATTGATAGAAAAAATTACTATTCTCTCCTGAAGAGAACTGAGAGCATGGACTTGATTGTTTGAGGTGAGTCTCTCAACAAAGAGTGAGATTAGTTTAAGGGCAGGCCCTGCCGTAAAGTTAAAAATTTAGCAAACTTTGATTTTGTACCGCTCAAATTTGACAGGTCAGTCTATCTTTTAATGACAAAGCTGCTATGAAACATGATTTCCGTGGTCTGAATCTCCTGGTGTCCAGTGAGAATGGATTAAAAGCTGGGTTCATCCAACAAGCTGATGATCTGATGAGCGATTTCATTCTTTGCATTGCTGAAAATTCCAAGTCTCTAACAGTACCAGGATATGCAGAGGTTAGCCGTTATGTGGACCCCAATCAAAATGGCCAATACATCCTCCTGAAACAGGTAAGAGACGGAAATAGCAGCAATTTTATAGATTTTATTATTGTTAAAATGCTAATTGGCGGTTCCGGTGTGTCAACACCTGGTTGACTTGGAGTAGTAATAATAGCATACATCGTTATAAGTCAATTTTTTTTTGTAAATCTGCCTGTACGAGTATATCATAAGATATCTAAATAAATCTCCTATTCTTCAAGGGAAAGAAATCGTAATAGCCATTTTTAAAATTAAAACATAAATTTTCTTTAAAAATATTATAGTAAACATTCCATAAATAATGAAGAACAGACAATTTGAGACAGGTTTGAGAGTACTTTTGAGAACGACGAATATTTACTAAAAAAGTGTTCTTCCGACATTTTTAACACAAAGATTTAACGTAGTGTTACTACTTGCTGTCTCTGATATTTCTTTTGGTGATGATTTACAAGTCTCCGTGCGTAATATTTTCATTGCTTGAATTTTCAGATGTGCCGGTCAAAGAGAAACATCTTCAAAGTAGTCGGTAAAAACTTGTCTGACGCCATAGATGGTTTAAAAATGCCATCAAAAGATGTGGTCATCACTTTGATCTGGGAAAAACAACCAACACTCAACCCACATGAAATTATGGAGGAGTTGAAAGCCAAAGTAAATTCGAGTGAAAATATAAGGTATATAATTTCTTGGAGTATAATAAGGTTAAAAATGTCAATAAGTTAAAAGAAAGAAAATAAAGAAACGAATTAACTTTACATGTGACCGATCGAGGGAAAGAAATTTAAATGAAAACAACTTATTACTACTTCCAAAAGTTTCCCGATGGTAATGTTTATTTTTAATTCTGAGTCAAAAACCAAAAATGTTGCATAAATTTAATCAAGTCGATTGTTGAATAGATACACATTTTTACGAAGCAGCCCAAGACAATGGTAACAGGCGGAAACAACGTCAAAAATAATGTTAAACAAGGGAAATAACGCTCAAAAAACAACACTAATGAAACCCGAGACGTTTTGACTCAAAACTGAGTTATTTGTGGTCGAAAAATGAATTAAAAATAAAAAAATACAAAATAATAAAAATAAAATCAAACAATTAAAAATAATAATTAAAATATAACTTTTTAATTTATTTTCCGACCGAAAATGACTCAGTTTTGAATCAAAACATCTCGGGTTCTTTAGTGTTGCGCTCTAGCCTTATTTTCCCTTTAGTTTTTTCCCCTCGTTTTTCTCTTGTGTTGACAAAACTTGTATACTTCAGCGAGTTTAAACCTAATTTTTTGGGAGACAGTCCAACTTACATCTCTGACTTTTTTTAGATCTTTGAATAAAAACAAAATAAAACTAATCATTTTGTCCTACTTAAAGATTATTCTTCATTCTGGACGATGACGCTCCCTCTTTCTCGGAACGAAACCCATTCTACTCAGAGCAGCTGCGTCTTGGCTTTCCTGTCAACATTCTGCGAAACGGCACATGGTGCACTTACAGAAGATTTCCTTTGCAAGGGGCTAACCCGGAACTGCTGCCAGATATAGTTGACATCTCGAAAATTAAGAGAGAGGATATTGACATTCACTATATTAGCTTGAACATGCAGAAGCAGCGAATTAAAAACTACGAGGTTAGTCATTCCGATAGGTTTAAAACAAGTAGGTTTGTATTTTGCCAAAAGAAATAAGCTACTAGCATTGCAATTTTGCAACGTCTTTGCTTACCACTAATTAACTGCAACTGTAAAAGACATGTTTTTTTATATATATTTAACACCTTTTTAGTGTATAAAAAGTGCTAATTTTGGCTTTTACAGAAGTGTCAATCCTCGCAATCAAGATACATGTATTTATTTACTGTTCATTTTCAAAATCAATTCACCCTCAGCTAATATACTCTTCAACGTCGGCGGGCTCTACATTTGTTGAAAAGCTTATTGAATTTTGTAATTTTTGTAGTGGCAAATTATTTTAATTTCTTGCTCATATTAATTGTCATGATTTTACTTTTGAATTTTTCTCGAGGTTCTCAAAATGTGTCTTAAACATGGTGCTTTGTTAAAAGCTTCTTTAAACTTCCCTGAATCGCAGTGCAAATGGATTAAATTATGCAGTAAGGAGCCACCATCTCTGGTTCTTCAATAAAAGCACATTTCTGCATGGCATATATTTTGTCTCTAAAATGAGCCAGAAATAGTGGCCCCTTATTAAAAAATATGATCCAAAAAATATAGACATTCTCTTGTGAAAAAATCTGATAAAGAACGGCTACGTAAACTGCCAATTATAGAGCGACGCACTGCAACGCAATCGACGCTAAGTGACTCGGCGATGATAGCGCCTGAATACAACTATTCGTACTCAGAGGATGTCCGCGTTGCATATGCAAAAAGTTGAAGGCGTTTTAGACATCCTTGCCCTCTCGGCAATCCACTCTACCAGCAAGGGGCGCACTGTCCTTCGCTGCATGTTCTTCAAGGTCGGAGTTATATCTTGAGCATGTAGTAGAATCAAGACCCAAAACATCTATTTTGATCAAGTGTTAATACTCTTCACTGCATTTCTAAATGAAAACGAACCTTTCTCAATTGTTCATTAACTAAGAAAAACATTGTTGCACATACTTCTTTGGTTTCGTTTTAATTATCTACTCAAATGTTGCAGCAAGATGTTTACGTATTGGAGTACTCTGGCGTGACTAAAGATCAGAAAAAAGTAATGGGACTAGCACAATATCGACCAGAAATATCCAACATGGAAATCAACATCGACCCAAAGTTAATTTGGGAAGTACCTCCGGGTGTATCGATGGAAGATGCTGCCACATTTCCTCTATTGTGCGGGATGGTAAGAAATATACATCATGAATTAATCACGACTTCTATGAATGACGGTAAATAGAAGTTCCTACAACGTATGAGTAGCTAAGTTTGCAGCTATTACAATATGAAGTAAAAATTTGCGAGAAACATAATGGTGTAACTAACTTTGGTCTCAATTCACTCTAAAAGTCAAGAGGGTTAAATTTCGAATAATCTGTAATGCTATAAACATATCACCGTTACTGGATTGATGAATTGATCACAGTATTTTTTTAAAGGGATATGACTTAATATATGATCAGGATTGCCGTACAAGTGGTTTCAGGACATTCCGTCAACGATTTTTTGTCTGCGCACCTGTATTGTCCAGTAGTTTACGTCCACGCGTAAAATAAGCAACACTGACTTGATCCAAGCGTTATATTTTAGTCCGTATGTAAAACTGCATTGACAATATCGAAATGAGGAAACTGAGAGAGAAGGAGGTGTTGTTATTGTAACTATCTTTTTAAATGAAATGTTGCTTTCTTCTTTTGAATCATCTATTCAAAATATCATAGGTGAATATTTGGTTTTATTTCTATCCTTCCAATTTTCGATTTAATACCTTACATTTACTTTTTTTTAATGAAAATATTACTTCATTTTAGGAATATTTACATTTTTAAAACTTCGCAAATATTTGTAAAACCCTTCCTGAGCGATGGGATCGATATTTATCTCAATGAGCCGCAGTTTTGTCAAAAGGAACTTTACAAAAAATGAATAAAATAAGGGAAAAAATCAAGAAGCACTTGGCACTCAATCTTTGGCAGACAGTTTCGGTAGAGAGTTTTCTTTTAGAGTCAAAAACGACCAATTTTGGTTGCGCGTACACCACGCCGTAGCACAGTAAAGGCACAAAATATACAAACAAATAAAGTGCTTTGGAAATCATTAAATTTGACACAGAGCGACCTTAATATTTACAAACACCCATAATATTTTCCTTTAATACATATTTTTTCCCATTAATTTAAAGGAGAATAATCCATGTAGGGTGTGCAAACATACCAAAATCATGAGTTGAAAAACGCTGATTTCACGAGTTTGAATATTTGAGCGCATACAACACAGAGCGGAGTGGCGTGCTGCCGGCAAACTAACACTGGCGCCTTCAAACCCAACAGGAATACTTCTCGCATTACGCAATGCGTGAGGTATCCCTGTTAGGTTCGTAGGCGCCAATGCGCGTTCGCACTGGTTGCCCTCGCCCGCCGCGCCGTGCCGCGGCGCTTCAAGCAACCATTTCGCAACAGAGGTGTTGCACAGTATTATACAAAATTGAAAGTTCTCCAACATATTAAGAATGACAGGCACCCTTTGAGAGCGCGAAGCTTTCCTCGCGAAATAAATACAGATACTACGGCATAAAAAGATAGTGGTATTCCAAAAACTCGTTAAGTCCTAGTATCCGTATTTATTAAAGTTTAGCATAATTTTTGAATTTCATTAGTAGAAGAAACAGTTATTTGGTTTAGACAAAAACATTCTTGAGTATGCCAGCAAGGAGATTTTATTTCGAATCATAAATAAAATATCCAAATGAAAACAAGTTCCTGCTTGAAGTAAGTGACTTTCCTTCTTCGAACAACCATTATTTTCTTTATTGACTCAACAAGAAGTCTACTCTGCTGTAAATTTGAGCATATTTCTATTTGAATCAAGTTACTTTTTTCTCTAATGAAATTTAAAAATCATGCTAAACGTCATTGAATACAGAAACTAGGACTTTGTAAGTTTTTCGACTACGCTCTTTTTTTGTCATCGTTATTCGATTTAATTTGCGAAGGAAATTCGTGCTGTTGAAAGATAGCCATGAACGTTGAGGTGCCTTCAATCTCGTATGATACTCTGCAACACCTCCGTGGCGAAATAGTTGCTTGAAGCGCCGAGGCCATGTATTCGTCTTACACAATTGTTGCTCGTGTACAATGTTAAATGTAATTCCTACCGTATATTGATGGCTGAGATGCAAAACCACGTATCTTCACTGCAAAGTTTCAAAATAAGTGCTCCTTTGTCATTTTTTTGATGAGAAACAAGTCAACATCACAGCTTGAATTTTTGACAGAATATTCCTCTAACAGAGAAGAAAAATTAAGGAAGTTCTTAAGAAATTACGTTCATTGTTCTCCAAAGAAAAAATAAATGTATGCCACGCAATCTGCAGCATTGCAAGCTGAGATACGTGACTTCGTATTTTGGCCGTATACATATATATTTCTTTTCGTAAACTCATATTTATTTGATTTCAAATATATTGCTTTAAGAGAGCGTGCGTGAGTGTCATTTAATTTACTTCTTAAAAAATATCGAAGGTATAGTGACACGATTCTTCTATTTCAGGCGAATTATGCTTTAATAATGTGTGTCACGTCTTACGATGTGAACTCTGCGCTCGTTCATAATGGTAGCAGCCTCCACGGACTCACATGTATTGCCGTTGCTTTCCACGCACAACTCGAAGTTTTTACAACCGTCCACAGTGCTGAGGAGCGGAACATCGTAAAGCGCCACTTTCCACAGGTAATTTGGAGTCATGATCAAGTATGATTTTTATTTCATCTCATATAAACAGCCGATAATAATTATCGGCTGTATTATTTCTTGTATCATAATTATTATGATACAAGAAGTTTTATTTTTTTAAAAAAAAATGAGATTCTAGCGATAAGCGGCGCAGCCCTGAGAGCGCTTTTCTCCTGTAACGAACCTGTAACGCAGGTTTAGACCACCTTTTTTCCCTTGAGTGCTACGTTTTTCATGAACGGCATTTACGAGACAGCTCTTCTTCTCGTTCTAAGAAAGTTATATACACCTAACAGGTGAGACTGTAATGATATCGGTTGGCTCAACATTTTAACATAGCCTCAAAATTCAATTTATAAATCTGAAGGAAAGGGTCTGTTGTGACAGATTTTTTATTATTTTCGGTATCAAATGGCAATAAAAAGTGAAATTCTTAGGAATTTTTTCATTTACAGCTTTTCCAGCCTAAATCCTAAAATGTTTGTTTGACGTTATGTTCTATCGTTGTGAACCAATCGACACATCGAACCACTATCGAATCCGATAAATTGATTTCAGTTGGAAGACAGCCACATCATCGACGCTTGGGCTGAGCAGTTCGACCTGCGGCTGAAACTCCTGACGGGGGGTCGAGGAGCGGACCTGGTCGTAAGCGACGTTCCTGCAAGCCGTATCACCGCGGCGTGGGAGTGCGTTGCACCCCACGGGAGCTTCATCGACCTGAACGAGACCAACATGACCGTCAACGCTCCGCTACCCATGTTCCACTTCCTCAAGTGCACCACCTACTACTCCTGCCTCAAGACCGGCCTCTTCTCCCTCGCTGATTGGCGCAAGCAGGAGCTCTGGAACCTTGTCCAGGCCACTCTCACCGCTGATGTTCTCGTCAAGGTCCCCAGGCGAGTCTTCGGCGCCCACCAGCTCGATGTCGCTGCCAGGTATGTCTAACCTAGAGTACCTTTATAGACAGAGTATGGCCATTCGTATCTTTTTACTACAGGAAAACTGTTCCGATTTTTGATTGGTCAACGAGTTTTTTAGGCTTCATGATGCTCTTAGGGCCGTATATAAACAAACAAGATGGCGACTCACCGTAACATCGATAAGAAGCTAAATTTGACAAAAATTTCAATTATACGGCAGTAACAATTTAAACTAGCATATCTACGAATAACACACGAAAAAAACACGAAAACATTGTTAAATCGCCTTTCACCTTTATCACAGGAGGATGTAAGATGTGCATAACCTCAATCTTGCTTGCTGATAACAGCCATCTTGTTTGTTTATTTACGGCCCTAAGAGCATCGTGTCAGCCTATTCGCTCGCGACCAATGAAAAACCGGAACAGAAATGGCCATACTCTGTCTATAAAGGTACTCTAGTCTAACCTAGAGGAAGACCCTCCATTGGTATCCTGGCAATGGTGGAATGCTAATACTTTTGGGGTTCAATACCTGACTGTTCATCTACCTGTTTGGTGACTGCTTTGCGACGTGTTGAGTATTTTGTTAATTGAAGAGTACGAAGTTAGGCAAACTTTGGAACCGAAGGAGCCTTGTAACCGATGGTGCCGCGTCGCTTAAATTTTCGAACTCGAGTTTCCTTCAAAATTCGTCCAATAAAATTTAGACAAACTCACTGATTCAGCTGAAGCAAATAGAGAATTTGTACGAATTTTTACTAAGAGCTGATCTTGCAGTATTTTTCATAATTTTTTCCTGATATTGGAGATAGTATCAAAATAGATTAAGACGTGAGAAAATGCACCACCTGGTGACGTCTGGTGGAGGCATTTCCCATTTAAACACGCATGTATGACGGCGTGGACGTCCTGTGGAACGTTGACGACAAGGAGTGGAGGAGATCAGGAGGTGCCAATTACCTGATGATCTCCGGGGGGATAGGGGGCAATGGCGATTGGGCGTCGCACAGCGCGAGGCTGCGCCATAAAAGCGGCTTAATGTGTGAATGTGTGATAGCAGAGTGGATCATTTGTCATATCCTCTCCAATAAATCGTTCAATTTTTAAACCAAGGATAACCTCGTGTTTAGTTTACTCGGGAGTTTCAACTTAAACACGAAATTTATTAAAGTTCAGATATCCAAAAATTATCCGTTTTATCTTATTTTTCCAGTTCATTTTCCTCATTTTTATTTCGCTTAATATAGCTTCTAATAGTCATTCTAGAGTAAGTAATTACATTGCTATTACTTTGCAGGGCCCTGAATAAGGAGAGTGGCCAAAAGAAAATTTTGCTATCCATGAAAATTCCTCCTGGCAACCTCCCGAAAAATTTCTCAATGAACAAATCAATTTACCACTGCAATAGCACCGATGCGTATGTCATATTAAGTAAGTTTACGATTTTTTTAATGCAAATAAGATTATTTGGTACCTTGATTTTGGACATTTCATTCATTTTAAACTCTCTTTTATTATCCAGTTTTATTGTAGAATGTGAAAGGACCTTGGTAACTCGCTTACCTCATGCTCTACACTATTAAAGCATGAAAGTAACACGGCCGCGAAGTGGTCAGGGGGCGTGCCCCCAATGCTTAAGATGAATATGCATAAAATTATTTTTTCCAACGATAAGAAATCTGATTCATGAAAATAAGAAAAACTGCATAGAACATACAAAGTAAAAATTTAATGGAAACTAAGCCAGTTGAAAATGAGGAAATTATGAGTGACCTTATTTTCGTCTGAGTCGTAGTCTTGTAAAAGGGAGACGGCTCTCGTGCTTTCTAGTGTAGATGCAGCTGGATAATTTTACTGGAATTCATGATACGAAAAGGTATTTTGCTACTGTAACCAGTTTATTGCCTTTAATGGGCATATCGATGACTATTTACGATGATTCGATGGATATTTTGTGTCAGAACGCCATGCGATATATCGCATCAATTGGTTCCATTTTTTCAGCTACTCGTCCTTTTTCTCCAATTTTGAGATCGCAATCCTGTTGTCAGGAGACTAAAGCACTCACTTACCAATTTTAAAAAAGAAATTCAACGTAATAAAGGCGTGGTTTATTTCAGAGAGAAAACATTGCATTCGATACTGATATCGAAACTGCACTCGAATGCGATATTTTCTCTCTAAAAAAACCACGCCTTTATTACGTTGAATTTCTTTGTTAAAAGTGGTAAGTGAGTGCTTTAGTCTCCTGACAACAAAATTGGGATCTCAAATTAGAGAAAAATGACGAGTAGCTGAAAAAATGGAACTAATTGATGCGATATATCGCATACCGTTCTGACACAAAATATAGCGTCCATCGAATCACCTTAATGGGCATACCGATGACTGTTTAAATGCCTTCACGTGTACGTCTTACAGGTCCTTCGATTGGGAAGAGTCTCAGTTTAATCGAGTGGATACTGATTCGCGGTGGACGGAAAGTCGTCCTGGTTGTGTCGAATCAGATTGGAGGAACCACAAAACTGAACGATTTGATCGACAAATATGGAGCTCAACTCTTGATCTCTTCGATAAAGAAGTTCAACTCAGGCGCGGAAACGGCAAGTTTGATGGATCAGATAAAAAAACTTCGCCCTGTGCCTATTTTATTTAACATATATATGGTAAGAATGTTACTTTGAATACCGTTAGGGGCCTACACAAGTTAAAGTTCCTTAAAAACACAAAGACAATTTTTGGTAAAACCACACTCACTTGCGTAAAAAATTGTTTTTAAAATAACGGGACGCGTCTCGGGACCTTAGCTCCCATCATCAGCCGCGACTGATTTTAACTTTATTTTAAAAACAATTTTTTTACGCAAGTGAGTGTGGTTTTACCAAAAATTGTCTTTGTGTTTTTAAAGAATGTTACTGTTAATCGCAGTGATGCACTTACGCTACTTTTTGGAAGGGGGCGCAACTATTTCTTACTCATAAATAAAATCACCTGGCAGGATTGGGAAAGTAGTAGCACACATGTTGTTTCTAAATTGAGTTAAAAATAGTGGTTTCTTATTGCAAAATATCATTTAACGCACCAGAAACCCACGTTGTGTCACCGTATTAATGTAAAATCTAATGAATCCTCACCATAGTGTCACACTTCATTAGTTAGCCCTTAGTTCTCACTGGCGCGAAATCAGAACTTTGAACTGATTTTTCTCAATTTTTCTCAATTGTCTTCCTCAGTGTTAACTCAAATACATAAACAGAGATAAAGTTTTCCGTCCAAGTATACTTTGATTTTAATTTTGACCTCTTTCAGCTGGTAATTTGATGCTGAGTTAAATTGAGCGTCAACTTATTTTATTATTCATTCTTTGCAGGGTTTTGCATAATTACGTTACGCTATTAATTAGAGCTCCACTTTTCAACTCTAATTGAAATGTTTGAACTTTTTGGCCTTTCTTTCCCCGCAAAATAGTGTGGACCTCGCACTATTACACCACATTGCTATTCATAGATGTGAGTGCCTACTCCATACTCTTTTTTTGAACTGAACAATTCGCCTTCTGCTGCGTCTGCAGCAATTGTTGATACGAATATGTTGTGCGTGCTGATCTCAGTTCATTACATACTCGAATCTCTGAAGGCGTTTTATTTGCACAAGTAGCACAATCTGTCCGGAGCACGAAGGAAGTAGGGATTGAGCGATTCATTCGATCTCACTTCTGTTGTTCTCCAACAGGGTGCTCTACTTTCGCACATTGAACGCTTTCGGAGAGTCAAGTATGTAATGCGCTGAGATCAGCACGCACAACATATTCGCAACAACAATTGCTGCAGACGCAGCAGAAGGCGAATTGTTCAGTTTAAAAAAAAAGAGTATGATACGTAGTCTGCATCCAATGAGAGGGTAGGTATGTGTTCGATTGACATGAATCAAACGAAAAATAAAAACTTGAACCGATCAACGACGATTCATTGAACAAATAAATAAAAAAGCGGATCAAAATCAGTAGAATATACTTGCATTTACTCTGAAAATTTCAAATTGTAACACCTCGAAATTAGGATCAGCCAGGATTTTGATTTTTCGCGTCCACACACACCACTCCGACTCACCCGCAAACCGTTTTGAGTACATTTTCGTCGAATTTTTTTTACCTCAAGACCACTGTGAGGGGGGAGGCAATAAAAGAGGTGAATGGTAGTAACCACTGTTCAGTCCAACTCATGCTGTTTAATTAATTAGCTGAGAATTTTTTTTGTTTCATCCTGTGTGCAACCAGCTGACACGTGTCAGAAATGAACAAATAGCCTCGTAAATTGATTTATATGAACTTCATTTATAAACTGCTTTGCACCAACAATCTAAATCGCTCATAAAAGATTAAATCGAAATTCTGACGCAGCAATCGATGAAAACACAAGCTTTTTAAGTGAAATTGAATTTTGTCTTACACTCTAGGACGAGAGACTTGCAACGCACATAGCATCCTTCCTGCCAAATCTTCATCATATAGTAAACGTAGCTCGTACTCAAGACTCAATTCAAAACAAAAGTGGAAGAGGTGCCAATACTAAAAAAAGTACTTCCCGCCTGTGTATCATTTGCGAAGATGGTGAGTCATATTTGCAGCTTATGGATCAAGCCCTGTTAAGTAATTCTGATCCGAAAAATGACTCCATCTACTCAATCAACGATTGTACGGAAAGTAAGTAGAAGCAAATTTTATATAACTTACTTTTACACTTCTTCTTCTTCTTCTTCTTCTTCTTTTTTTTTTTTTTTTTTGAAAAGTAAATTCTCTCGGGAAAAAAGACTTTAGTAGGAGTAGCAATATCGGGAGGCGATTTTTGTTGCATTCGATCGAAAAATAAAATTTTGAGGTTTCAAGAGAAATTCATTTTAGTGTTCTTAGAAACGAACGACGTTAGAAAGAACGAGTTTCGACTGTTCGGGTCAATTTTGTTTTTTTTAAAGGGCGTAACGTTATAAGAAAATCCAGAAATGTCGTTGCCTAAAAAAGGAATATAATATTTTTAAGTAGCATTTCTTGGAACTTCTTTTTTTGAACTGTGAACTTTAAACCACTTTCGCTCCGATTTAGTCCAACATTTTGGATATTTTTGTCTCAAAATGTACTTAGAACAAATTTTTATATGCTGGCATTAATTATTATGTCCGAAATGTTGTGTTCCTTTCAGCATTAGACGGCCAAGGTAAACAAAAAACAACTCCTCAACTCAAGATGTAAATTAATTGATTATCAGTCCAGAAATTCGACAGACTACCTACTTCCAATGTTTTTTTTAACTACGCAAACATCGTTCAAGATTTTAACACGTAGCAACGGCTATAAATTCATATTTTTGCTGTCCTTTAAGCATATATGCTGTGTAAAATATACGATAATGAAGGCGCACTGACTTTCTTAATGGCAACCATCTGATACAACTTTTCCTACTCTTGGGATGTCTGTATTGCATATCAAAAAAATGAAGGCGCTTTGCCTTACTCGATGGCAACGCATGGACGGAACGTCTAGGCACAGTATATTAACATCCAGGAAACCTGTGCAGAAAAATGCAAAGAAAAATGCGTATTTTGATATGTAACGTTGCAAGCTGTCATTATTTATTTTTAGTTGCAAAACCATTTGACGTCATTTAATAAAAAATTTTTTTTGTTTTTTCTTCATACCGGTAAGATGAATGAAAATCTTAAGAAATGGATCTGTTTCCTCATTAAAAAAAACGAGGGACACAAATTTTGAAACTCTGCGATGAGGATACCAATTCCTTTAAGTTTCGCTTGCACTGAACGATTGAATCTGTTGACTGTTATTGAATTAAAATAGGAACTGATGAAAGCTAAATGATTCCTCTCATTTCTAGATTTAAAGAAACAAACCATTCCGTTACGCGAATACCTACCAAAATCTTTCGAGGAGCTAGAGGAGATCGGCAAGTATGCAGAATCCTTCCCGAAGCCACTGATGACCGCAACTGACGACTCAACAGTTGATTCCACCGATGCTGTTACCGTTGCTGTCACCGATGCCCCGTCCGATTCGAACAAGAACTCACCACCGGACACTGAAAGTAGGCCCATCGACTTACCACCGTGCGCTGCGTTCGAAGAAATTCATACGTTGGCTCGGCGTCAGAGATACCAACGTGAAATTTTGCCAGTGTACCTGATCAGTAGTTCCGTGAAAAAATTCGCACCAATCCAAAAGAAACTCCTGTATCCACTGTATTTTGCGAAATTTTCCGAGCAAATGTCATCTGCAGCGGAAGCCGCTAAACATCTGTATAATGTAAGGGCTACTTGAATTGTTTTTGCTCTGAAGAAATTTTACTATATTAAGTGGACGGATCCAATCAGTGGCGATTTTGCAAGTTGACACGCTGTTAATACTCTATTTTAAACCATTAAAAATATGGATTTTAGGTAAAGCAGTGTTGCCTCACCAAGAATCAATTGTTTTACATACATTTAAATGGAGGAAAAACAGTAGTACCAACTCTCAAGAATCGCCAATGGATGCAACGAAAATCAGCCTGACAACATCAGACATTTACTAATTTTTATTCTTCCAACATCCTGACATTGTTTGTTTCTCTGGTAAAAAAGATAAGACTTGAAGTAAATTAGGCAATATAAAATGCAATTGGGCTGATTTGGGTTAAATGCATTCCGGGGACCTATGTTTGTCTCGCCTTAAAACTGGACGATTCCACATCTTTGTGAGACCATACTACGCTCGAAATGGAGATGTTGCATGTGTGAGGGATTTGCAATTTGACTGTTGTTTCTTATGTAAATTTCGCGAGAAACACGCTGGTGCCACTGGTTTTCTCTGAAATCATCTCCCAAGCTCAAAAAAAGCTCTCGAAGTGAGGCCAAAATGGAGGGGATATCCCGCCCTACCCTGAGAGTCCACCTCTACATCAAAACAAACTCTCCATGCAAAGATAGGTAGCAAATACATTAGCAGGATTGCCGTGTTTTCAGTTTTGGAGTCCTCAAATGAAGTGGCAGCCCTGTCAATGTATTTGCTCCCTATCTTTGCATGGAGAGTTTGTTTTGATGTAGAGGTGGACTCTCAGGGTAGGGCGGGATATCCCCTCCATTTTGGCCTCACTTCGAGAGCTTTTTTTGAGCTTGGGAGATGATTTCAGAGAAAACCAGTGGCACCATCGTGTTTCTCGCAAACTTTTACATAAGAAACAACAGTCAAATCGCAAATCCCTCACACATGCAACATCTCCATTGTACGAAAATAGGCATAAGTTCATCTGCAGCTCGATTACAAGACATATTCCTATTTTAACCATGCATATTGCATTTCGATGTCTTTTTGGGCTGTTGTGAACTTTTAATAATCGAACCGCAGGGTCCGTTTTCCCATAAACATTTTACATTCTCTACTTACTTTTTGTCCAGTCTATCTGTGCGATTCAACCCAAAGGACCATGCACTATCATAACAGAATCGTGGAATATTCCAATTGCTGTTGATCTCATTGGAAAACTAAAAGAAAGTCATCGACAAGCTTCTCTTACTATTCTGCCCATTAGTCAAAAGAGCTTACACTCCGTGGTACCTCGAGAAGAGGAACTGGAAGACATCATACTACGAAATTTATTGCAGTCATCTCTAAAGGTAATCATGTTTTCATACTGTCAATTTCTCTGTCAAAGGCTGATCTCTCTCAAGGAAAAAAATAACTACACTTGAAAGCGATAAAATGTTTCTATTTAAATTTTAGATTTGATCATCTTCCTTAGGTCAAAAGCAAATTTTAGATGTCATTACCACAAAGATGGAATACAAAATAATCTACCTCTTCGTCCCATCTTTTACGCAAAAACCTTCACGTAAAGAATTTGTAATTATGTCTTTAATTGGGTTAAGAAAAAAATAAAAGACCGAGAAAAAAAATTAAAAACGCCATAATTTCATTTGAAACTTGATGGATCAATTATTTTCATGACTGAGCACCGACCAAATGCAGGATATATAGGTATGAAGGAAGATGATGAAATTGACGAGTCTAATATTGTTTCATAATGGTAAAAAGGTTGCTATTTTTGCATTAGTGTGCATTTGAGAGACTGATTTTCAAGAATGTCGTAGATATTACAGAAAATTTCAGGTTTTTTTTAGGAATGATGTCCACTCTTTTCATCGATTAAGAAACCGAAATATAGTTCATGTTTTAAGGGAAATTTCCCTACTTCATACTGGCTTTTGTTAATTCATAGCATATTTTACTTTAAAACCGTCAACTCTTAACTCTTTATATTTGCCGTTTTTTAATTTCATATATTTCAAACTAATCGAGTCACTATAGTTGATTGCAAATGTGATTCTGTTGATAGGAATATCAAAGCTTATATTCCGAGATGGCTCTGGAGACGAAAGTGGCTGACATTATCGGTAAGGTCAGTCTTAAATCCGATAAAAACTTAGCTCTTGCTGGCCTTACTATCTTCAAGAAACAGATGCAGTTCTTTTTGGAAACACCTTTACCAAACAAACTGTTGGACTGTCCCGTTTTAGTGGTCGAAATGGAGGCAAACCTTGTTAGTCAGACTGATTATGCGAAGGTAAGTCCTTGTAGTATGCTATTCTTATATCACTGTGACCGTAAGTGGGAGAGATTTGTTGTTTTGCCATGTCCTACGGTAAAAATAATGTTAATAGGTCTTCAGTTTGCATGGAGGAACTTTCATTTCTGGTCCATCTACAAAAGCAACGTTTGTAGGTAAGGAAGCCAATGCCCCCCTAAATTGAGCCGGAAGTAGTAGCTCCGTGTAGTCCATATTGCTGTCCATTTAAGAGATGAAGAATGTAGACTCAATTTTAGTCCATCGCAGTCAATTGAGAGGATTTAAATTTACTGATCAAATGAATTGCGTGACAAAAATGGCGACTCTAGAATACAACTGCCTGATTAATTTTTGTCCGTGTTGCAATTGTGGTATATATAAACAAATGAAGGCGCTGGGTCATGGCATCAATGCTATATTAATGTTCTGGTCGCTGGATGATTACTAGATTAACTGTTGTTCAAAAATTATTTTTATCATGTAGTCGCATATTTTTTAAAAACATTTTTCAAAGATCTGTAAATAGCTAAATAAACTCAAAAATAAAAAGATATACATTTTGTAAAAAAAAATTGTAAAAAATAATTAGTGAATTTTCAACCTTTAACTTTGATAGGGTAAAAGCGTAAACTTGGAACTTTCAAAACTTGTCGTTGCTTTCCCGTGAAGTGGTTCTTGTACTTCCTCTATATGTACTAACAGGCTATAGATGGGTGTTTAGATCAAGAATTATATGTAGTCAAAGAAGATGAGCAAAGGAAGAAGAAGAGGAAGAAGAAGAAGAGAGCTCCATTTCTCTTCACCGTTTCTCAGTGTTGATCCATGAAATTTGGCAACACCGTTTTTGCTCCATTCAAATCTATTAAGAAAATCGCATTTAGATGAGTTAAGCTACCTAACTAAGAATCGATTGTTAAATAGTTTCAAATGGAGGAAAAATAGTGTTACCAACTCTTAAGAGTCACCACTGCTCATTCCCCGGGGGTGTAGAATGGCTGAAACCTAATCTTTTTCGTTTGGTTTTTCTTCTTGAATGTAGATATCAAAAGGAGAGGTCTCGGTGTTCAGAAGTTCATCGACTACTTATGAAGAATTGCTTGCTGACCCGACGTTGATCAAGGAACTTAATTCACGGCAACTGTTCTCATGGCTGCATGAAAATGAAAGTGTGTCAAAATAAACTGAGGAAATGGAGGCTGATGTCGGGTTGAACTCGCATTTTGATCCTATTTCAGCTGTTCAAGCTATTTTATGATTTGTTTTAGCATATTTGGATTGCATTTTGCAAAAGGTAACCAAGAGTATCCCAATGTTGTTAGGATTGTGTAACTTACATTCTTTGCAATATAATTGCAGGCATCATGCAAAAATTAAATTTGCAAAGATAATTTTCGTATTGAATCGAAGGTTTCTTCGGGATAAAGATTAAACTTGTTTTGATGATCAGTTTAAGGAGGGTAAACAAAGTTGCAAAATCTTAGCCGCATTGGAATGCTCTTGGTTCCTTTTTGCAAAGAGCAATCCAGTTATGGGAGCGCAAGAAAGTTGCGAATTCAATCAAAACATGATCTCTCACCTACTGCTAATTTTGTGTGTAATCATTCTAAGCAGTAATGAAACCTTACGTTTAAGAAAGTATTGCCTGCTGAGTCGACTTAAGAATGCCCATTCTTGGAAGCTTTACCTATACCTTGGGTAAATGACAACCCATTTATCCCAAGTATAAAATCTTTCACCAGCATATTGTTCTGAGGTAAAAAAATCGCATTGTGAATTTTTGAAAATAAACACTTAAGATTGTTCAAGATTTGCTCTTTTGATTTATTTCAGTATCGCGCAGCACAATCAGACAGCATATATGCCCGTTTTTCTGTCAAACGGAACCAGAGACACGTAAAAAAGAAGGGGTATACTCGTTAGTCGAGGGTCGTTAGAATTAATGGGAATTATAACGCGCCAGTGACGTCAGTGGTGACGGTCTTTAACTCATGAGCCCTGCTCACAATGCTGTTGTCACATGCCTATGGCTCATGAGCGCATTTAGTTATGCCACCTAGTTCCGTTTGACAGAATGTAAAATCCCGCTTTTCCATTTTTCCGAAGGGAATCACGCCCACTTTAACACTGTTTCTTATGCAGTTTTCTAAAGCGCACCTCATATATTCCACTCCTCCATAGTTCCGTTCAGCAGAAATGCGTTTATAATATATCCTGAGATAACAATGACTTACACAGATCATAATAAATCGCAGCAGAGTTATTTTGCGTCTTTAAAAAATCTGACTATCCACTATGTTTTGTATTGTTTGATATTATCAGACGCATTAAAAAATTTCCTCCAAAAATAAAATGATCCTCAGCCTTCTCAAGATTTTTCTTGTGCAGTTTTGTTGTTAGGCACACAGTTTCTACGAATCTGGGTGATTCCTTGGCAATTTTAAAACCACCTAGTGCGGCACACACACACACACTTACAAAAAAACTTTCCTAAGGATATACAACAGTAAACACTCTTCCGCAGCTGTCACGTAATAAACTTTGCATGTCTCAAAGTCCACAAATGCAATTCACTAACGATGGTTTTTGATATTAAATATAAAATTAAGAACTGAAATAAACACATGTAATGAAACAAAACCTCTGCTTCTTTAAAGAAGCAATCGTCACTTGCAAGACCCGAAATGTTTTTTTTTTTTGAGAGAAATACTTACATTCGATGGCACAGTTAACCATCATCACCATTTATTTACCCGTGAATGACACTGTCAAAAATAGTTCACTACTCCAATCTTCATACTTTTCACTGGAGCGAACGGGCGATCGTGAAGCATGTGGAAAAAGTGGGAGCTCAAACGAAACTTAATGCAAATGCAGAGAGAGAGAATGTCACGGTCTAGAGTCTACCTGTTAAGGTACTTGTAGGTCATTAACCGGCCGCGAGTATTCTGCGTGCGAATCAATGACCTCAAATCTACGGAAAAGTGGGTTAAACTTGACAAGAAGCAAACTTTTTTTTGGAAAACATGGGGTCTGCTGGGTAATTTTGGCTGGCGAAATTCCTCGTAAATGTCCCTATGATTGCCACAGTAATTAGTGCGTTACCTACAATCCCAAAATGGCAAAAACCCTGCACTTTTTGATTGGAAATTGCCGCTTTAAGGGTACAATTTAGGAGTGATTCTGCCATGCAACCCAAAAACACCGTAGACGCCAATTTTTTTTTTTTTTTTTTTTTTTTTTTTTTTTTTAACAATATATCCAGGCAGAAAAAACGTGTGTACCTTGAGGAAATGTTTTTACAGAATTCATTCTCAAATACTATCAAGAACTTAATATGAAAATTGTGTGTGCTTGGGTAAAACAGTTTTTATTTTATAAAGTGTTAAGTTCAAAAAAACGAGGGAAAATCTTGGTGGATTTACGGCGTTCTTGCTCACCTCTGGAAGGAGCAACACTCTCAGACCCGCGACTGGAGCAAAATGGCGGCCGTTAAAGTCCGCCATTTTGGTTTTTCTCAAAACACTGGCCTTTGGTTGTTATTGATCCTATTTGCATCAACTTTTTTTTAAATGTAAGGTAATATCCAGGAAAACGATTGATTTCTTATCAATTTTCCTATTAGACTTAAATTTTGCTTTTAAATTGGGCTGACCTGAATGTTCCAATTTTCGGAAATTTCGAGGTCAAATAACCTTCTCCCAGCAATATCAAAATGCAACACAATAAATAAGAATTATAGGTTCTATTTCGATGGCGGATGCTCGAAACATGTATCACCATTGCGGTGTTTCAAAATCTCTGCTCCTATTTTATTATTCCGAAGAAAAACAATTCAAATTTAGAGCCTGAAATTTCCACAGAACATTCCGCTGCTAGAAAATAAAAGTCAAGGATGTTTTCACAAAAATAAATTTGATCCGATTTCCCTTTAAAAATAATTTATGACAGGAGGTCTCCAAGCGGAGATACAGAGTTCAACACTTTAGCTACCGCCTTACTTCCTACATTGAGTCGAGGAGAACTGGTTTTGCACGTGTAATATTGGTATCCCAACTTTTTCATCACTTGTCCTCGATGGCTTTAGTGGATATTCGAACGAGAAAAGGTGCATTGTATATGTTCTGCAAATGTTTGAAAGAAAACTTAAAGTTAGATGTGACTCAGAGCTTATGGGCATGGACAAAACAATGGTCAACCTTTTCAACAAGAATCTTTGAGAAAGGAAAGTCTCGATATTCGATGCTGCTGCGTAATCACAGAAGTAAATCGAATGTTGAAGATAAATTATACGCATATGAGGACTTATCTATAACAATAGCGGATGTGAAAAATTACCTTTTCGAAACACATTCAAAAAACTGTTTTAGCATCGAGAAAATTTTGAGAAAATACTTGAGATGTGATCTTCGAGATCTGTACATTATGCCAGAGCCAATCATATTAAATTTTTGTGTGAACAAAACAGTTTTTTAAGCGTGTTTCGAGAAGGTAATTTTTCACATCCGCTATTGTTACAGATAAATCCTCATATATGCGAAGTATAATATTTAACGTTTACAACTGAACCAATCTCTTAGATACAAAAATGAAAATTAATCAGTGAACTGCTTTTAAAATAATTATCAACAAAAATTGATACATACCACGAAAAACCTCTATCATAGCTTTTAAAATATATATTTAAGCATGGATTTATTAACTAGACTACTTGGAGTCGACGACGTTGCCAAGTTCGACATAAACTTTTGACATTTTCAACTGAAGTGACGTCAAGAGGATACGGAAGGAAGAGTGAAAGTATCACCGCATGTTCGCCAAGCAGTGACGTGGCGTGCTTTGCGATCTATCGATACTTCCCCATTTGAAGCTATGGTAAAGAATCGATTGTTAAGGTGTTCGCTGCGAACACCCTGTTTATCGATACTTTTCCATAGGTTTAAATGGCCGATCAATCGATATATCGCAAAGCACGCCACGCCACTGTCTCCAAGCGTTCACCGACTCGCAAGCGTGCGTACGCCGATAGTGAATAATTTTTCACTATTAATGGAACCAATTTGAATTTTTAATCGATTTTTAGGGTGACCTGTAATCAAATGCATTTAGCGAGACTGACCGTCACGCTCGCTAAATTTTTTTCGCTCGTCTCATTCCGTCCAGTTAATTGTTTTTTTTTCTCATTTCTCTTTTTTACATGTGGAATAAAAGTTTATATAATTAAAGAACTTCAATTAAAGCTATTAAAAAGTTTTCAGGGTAGAGTTGGCCAAAAAGTATTTTTAAGGAAGTTTTTATACATAACTTTTAGGTTGAACTCAAAATCAAGGTCAGAGGAGAGTGCGGAGGATACAAAAATATTACGGTGAGTAAACGACAAAATTGACTTCATTCAGGAAAAAAGAAATCATATTTTCTGAAGGGTGGGGGAAAACAGTGGATCTATTTCCTAAAAGTTTATGATGAACAATTCAACAAAGATAAGATTCAATATCGTATACCGTTGGCATTATTCATATGTAAATTCAGAATTGCCCCTCGAAATTCTTAAGAAAAGCCTTTTGCCGATTTGGTTTATGATTTCATGATTATTCTTATCAACCCAGAAAATTAAAGAAAATCACAAAGACGTAATTCAATTTTTTTAAGAAGTAAAAAAAGGAGTATATTTCATTCAAACTTTCAATACAGCAAGTATGAATTTAAATACTCTGGTAAAGTTATTACTAGACTAACTCATGTGAAAAATTTAAGGGGGCCGCAAAGGCTCTGTAATTTCAGAAATCTAGTCGCCCTACAAGAGAATTCAGGACGTTTTGCGAAATAGGTACGTGACATTTGCGTTATTTTTGAAGTTGTATTTTAATACTATTCTTGGTAAGATCAGTTCAAAATTGATCCTAAGACCATTTGGACTGCATTTTGCAATTTGGAACTATAAATTTTGGCTCATATGAAAAAACACTCATATGCACTGGGAAACTAAAGGCACATACATTGTTTTTAAACTGAGCTAGAATTTATAGTTCCAAATTGCAAAATGTAGTCCATTTCATTTTCAAAATTTCACCAAGAGGTCCTCGAAATCACCAATTGGAGCTAGGAGATCCTCAAATCATGTTTGAAGGGGTGCCTTTTGCTTCCTAGAACCCATGACGGGGTGTCATTTTTACGTCCCTTAATCGCCTTGATAAGGTGCTCCTTTCGATTAAATCCTAGTTCCGTGTATGTCTATGTTAATATAATACAGGAAAATTGACAGATCTACCACAATCTATGACAACCTACTACAATCTACTGTCTACGACAATCTAAACACATTCTGTTCATCTCAATCAAGATACTCGAGTTACTAGTTTCATCACCAATATGCATCCTCACCTGTGCCCTAGAAAGATGATCAATGTTGATTTAGACTAACCAAACGCCACTGAAATGAGTAAAAGAGATAATTTCGACGTATTTATGCTAAATGGAACTATGAGTAAGTGGAAAGATGGGGTGTGTTCGTTAGTTGAGGGCCATAAGAATGAATGGGGATTTTACAGCGCCAATGACGTCAGCGGCAACGAAGCCGTCTCCATTGTCGTTCTCGCTCGTCTTTAACTCATGAGCCCTGTCCACAACGTTCTTGTCTCATGTCCACGGCTCACGAGTTAGCGCTCAGTTACTGTTGATTTGATATCAAATCCCGCTTTTCAATTTTCTCAAAAAGAACTATATCCACTTTTACATTGTTTCTCATGCAGCCTCCACGAGCACTCCTCATCTTTCCACTTCCACATAGTTCTTTCTAGCATAAATACGTTCAATTCGGTAAATCGCGAGAACTTGCACTCTGTGATGTCTACAACCTCAAAGTTAGCAGTCAAAGTTTTTTTAAAATAATTCCAAAGTTGCGGTAAGAAAAAATTGGCCTCTATATATTAGAAAAAATTTCTAATCGAAAATCGCCCGAAAATTGAAATGTTTGATATTTACGTTTCCTCCAGTCGGGAGAAAGCCGCCAAGTTCTTTTCAAAATCCTCGAGTGAGTTATTCAACCGACGCACGTCTAACACTTTCTCTGGATATGTATTTTGATTTTAAAGATATCATGGCAAACCAACCTACAGTATTCTTAAAGGGAGGATAGCACGGACAAGACAGTAATTTTGTGGTTAGGTCACGGGGCTTTTAGGGCCAAAAAATGCGGCCAACCTATAAATTCAAATTAAATCCAGAGTGATTTATCATTACAAATGTTACGACTTGTCGTTCGTAAAGCACGTACCCATTTGACTCAATATTGCATAAATGTGATCATTTTTGTGGAAGAACACTCATTTGAGTACATTCTTCGCCATCTTGATTCGAATCTAAATATTGGCAATGACACATTTTGTGTTAGAAGGTTGGCCGCCCTTTTGGGCCCTAAGAGCTCCATATCTCGATATGTCTGTGCTCTTCATAGAGTACATAGAGTCGTAATGTAAGTGGGTGAGCTGGCGCCACTTTTAAGCATTTTCCAGGTCCCGAATTCCGAGACTCCTGTGTGACGCCGGGTCATTTTTTCGATACATAATCGATCTTTTGCGATACACGGGTACCCGACCATCCGATGTAAACAAGGAAGATAGGAATCACCACGTATTCCACAACGCCATTTTGGATCGAACATGTATCGAAAAAGTGACCCGCCCTCCGGCGCACACCGGGCTCGGAGCTCGTCGAGCAGAACATGGCGCCAGATCTCCCATTTACACTCCGACTCTATGTACTCTATGGTGCTCTTAATAGTTGGTATTTAAAGAACTAAAACCTCAGTTAATGAGAATGGGGAAAAGAGTTGGAGAGGGTATGTGCGGTAACATTTTACTTGCGATTTGAATCTCATTCAAATTGATCGTATCTACAGGTTGATTCAACCCAGGGCCGATCAATAAATGAGAGTCATGAACGCTGATGTGAAAGTAGTCATAGCGGGAACGGCAGGCGTTTTTCCGGATTGCGAGGACATTGACGCGCTTGACCGGGCGTTGAACCGGAAGGAACACTTGGTCACAGATGATGACCGGAAATGGGAAAAGAGTAAGTTCTCAAGCGCTCAGGTGGACGAAATTGAGGCGCTACTTGCAGAAAAGACATTTATTCGTCAGTGGCGTGGCGTAAATTGCGATATATCCATTGTTATGCCATTTAAACCAATGGAAAAGGATCGATAAACAGGGTGTTCGCAGCGAACACCTTAATTATCGATTTTTTACCATAGGTTTAAAAAGCATACAATCGATATATCGAAATTCACGCCACACCACTGGTTGCGGTGTTTCAGAATCTCCGCTAAAATTTCATCCATAATGATCAAAGCAAACTAATGGAATTTGTTGAAATTGTCACTGAATTTTCTTCATGATTTTACGATGCTAAACACAAAAAATGTCGGAAAATTCACTCAATAGTTTCATCTCTAAAATGTAAATTAGCAGTGGAAATTCCGCAACACCGCAACCAAGAAATGCCCTCTCTATGCCTAACGCTTTAATTAGCATAACTACATCGATCGTTGTCTAATTTTTGCTGATGTTCATTTTTTCAGCGGAGAACTGACAAATATTGAAACTTGAAATTTTGCGAGTATATTTTCTACATTCTAGGGTTATTAAAAACAAATTTAAAAACGAGAAATCGTCTAGTTCTCTGCGAAGAATATAAAACATGAGAAAAATTAGGCAACGTGAAATGGACTACTTTTTGCAGTTAGGAACTAAAATTTCTGGCTCAGTTTAGAAACAACGTATGTACCATTAGTTTCCTTACATACATACGTGTTTATACAGGTGAGCCAGAAATTGTAGTTCCTAATTGCAAAATAAAGTCCAAATGCAGTTCGGCTGATTCAGCTTGTAGCGACATTTTTTTTGCATGTAACCTGCCACGATTACATGAATGAAGCGTGTAGGTCCAAAAAGGCACTAAGCCAATGTTTCAAACCTTCAGAGAACTGGAATGATTGTAATTTGTTTTGGCATGATTAATTATTTATCGGATACTTAGAGCTTGAATCACAGCATTATAAAACCAGTGTGGCTGAACTTAAACATTTTAAAAGTCAAAATTTACATTATTCTATGGTTTATTCAAAAGGAAAAAAGATCCGGAGCCTTTTTAATCTAAAAATTTTCCGTCAATATAAGTCCCATTGTGCTATCCAACACCCAAATTGGACTTAATTCCTCCACCAGGAACTGCCTTTTCTGGCGTATTATTTTAGAGGCAACCATGTGACATATTAGATTCCCTGAAATGAAGTGTTTTTAAGTTTCAGCTGAAAATAGTGGCCTCTCGTTGCAAAATGAAGTCCAATTCGATGGCTAAATTTTGAAACTACGTATCTTAATTTGCGATGTTGCAGACTTCCAGTCTTATTCCATTTTTTTGGGACAATTATTCAACGCGATTTTTTTAAAACTTCTATACCATTACCTCTCTGGCAGCAGAATTTTCTGCGTGGATTTCAAGCCACATAGTCGGCTTGTACCTCTTTAAAAAATCAAATGGGAGCGTACATTTTAAAACACCGCGATAGCAGGGCCAGATTCATCTACTTGCCGGCCCCTTCTCATTCGTTTCGAAACATCAATAAAAACCATCAAGTGAACATGCCGGAGGGGGAGGGGAGGGGTGCATAAGACGCGTTTACTCGTGTTCGGCACATACATATATTTTTCGAAAGCCCTGCAACACTACTAGCAAAATTTCACGGAACTTTGCGCGAAAGTTATGTTCCATAAACCTATCTCTGTGTGAGCAAAGCCTTCCATTTGTAAGAAATGAACGCAAAAATTATGCAAGAACAAACATAAATGTGGGTTAGTAATTTTAACTTCCGCCGCCGCGCCGCGCCGACCGCACTGTGTTTGGCGCAATGCGTGAAGTATTCCTACAGTCTTGTAGGCGCTATGCGTTTCACGCCGACCGCCGCTGAACGCACTGTGTTTGGCGCAATGCGTGAAGTATTCATGCAGTCTTGGAGGTGCTAATATGTGTTACATGCCGACCGCCGCCGCAATGAGGGTTTCTCTTTTTCATCTCAAGTCCTCATCATCATTGCTCTCTGCGCCGCTCCGCTCCATGCCAAATTACGTGTTTGGTTTCTCTCTTAACTCGACTAATTAAAGGTGCTGTCTCTTGTGTCACTGAAAGACGTTTTTCTTATTTGTAAGTTTTTTTTCTGAAGCCGTTTTTTTATACACCTACACTTCAAAAAAAACTGCAAAATTTGCCGGCCCCTAAATTTGCCGCCATGGGCCGCCGTCCATGTGGCCACCACCTTAATCCGGCCCTGCGCGATAGAGATACGTGGTTTTCATCTCGGCCATCGAATTGACGCTTTGCACCTACCCCCTAAAGGCAAAGACGATTATCACAAGTTTCAATAAATCCGTTTCATTAAATTGATCATTCACTTCGATTTAAGTGAGCCAGCCTACGCCTAACCTAGCATTGATTGTTTTTAAATTGTACACTCAAATGAAAGAGACTAGCGTTGCCAAATTGCGAAACTCGCGAATGCTTGAAATACAGCTTTACAGCATTAAAAAACTGGATCATTGATGGATTTACATTAATGATATGCACTTCATTTTTCAGATGATCAGGAGGCGCCGATTTACTGCGGCAAAGCGTTTTCACACGAGCATTTCGACGCCACATTTTTCAACGTTCCTTTTAGCTTCCCCGTCTCGATGGATCCAATTACAAGGAAATGTTTGGAAACCAGCGTGGAAGCAATCATAGACGCAGGTTCGTTACATTTTTTTAATCAGCATCTCCGAAGACTCTTTGAAGAAAACTATGTTGTACATAATGTACTTGCACTAAATACGCATCCAGGTTTTGTAGCTGTAACCGCTATCTACTCTGCCGTGCTGGTTTACGGACAGTAGGTCTACAAGAAAAATGGCTACAAAAAAAAGGGCTACCTTTTTTGGTCTATAGTCAACATGTCTACATGAAAATGCCTATTAAAATAATGTCTATGGTAAAATATGTCTGCGGTATTAAAATGTCTACGGTTTGACTGCCTACTCCAAAAATGTCAAAGTACGTATTTATGTCGTCTAATAAGACTCTCATTTGAACTGTTGAACTCAATTGAGGCTGCGGATGCTGCAGGAGCTGATGCGTAAAAGTTGTGAGTCACATTTCGCGAAGAATTGATCTTATAAATATAAACATGTATATTTTATATACATTTTATTTATTTTCTTTATTTTATACATAAATTTTATAGCTAACATAAATATTTTGACATTTTCTAAGTGGGCAATCAAACCGTAAACATTTTAATAGTGTAGACATATTTGACTGTAGACATAATTTTAGTAGGCACTTTAAAATAGACATTTTGACTGGAGACTAAAACAGATAGCCCTCTTTTTTGCAGCCCTTTTTTCTGTAGACGTACTGTCTGCATACCGCCGTGCTAAGGAAGAGCGTCGTATGAACATTCGAGAGTACAAAATTTCCTAGGATAAAACGTTTATTTTCGAGGAAAATTTTGAATATTTTTCCTTGAAATTTTCGGACACTTTAGTTCGAATTACAAACGAAATTATCTGAGAAATCGGTGGAAAAATATTCAAAAATTGTCCTGAGAATTAGTGATTCGCCAGGAAAAACCTGGCAACGCCTGAAGGCTCATGTGGCGTTTTTCCTTGGCACGGCAGTACTCAGAGGCGATTCTAGAGAGTTGGCAACCCTGCTTTTCCTCCTTTTCAATCCATTTCAAATGTCAATTTTAAGTGAGGCAATTTGCCTCGCCGAAAATCAATTGTTTTACACACAAAACAAAATTTAACACTATGTAAAAACTATTATTAGATACCCTACAATTAGAGTAAAAACAAAGACAAAATTCAACTTTTGGACGTTGAAATCAATTGGATTTTGGTTGCCGTTCCTCCGACGGCAACGAGAACCATCCATTTGTCGCCTTGGACACTGGTAATGGTAAAAGAAATCGATTGCAAAAAGCTCTCCCGAGTGGACGAGCTCAAAAAGCTTGGTCTCTTTTCCGCGCTGACTCAAAGATTTAAACACAGAGTAGAAAAGTTGGACGGAGCGAAACGCGTGATACAATTATTTCGACTTCCTAGTAGGTAAAATTGCGTATCCACAAAATGAAGGAGAATCTCTTTTCGGCTGACTCAGGGACTTCAGCTTTCTTCGTTGAAATTAAATTTAAAAATCAACTTACTTTGTTTTATCAAGGTGTTAATCCAAAATATCTGGACGGGACAAATACAGCTGTTTATGCAAATTACGATTTCACTGAGATGGAAGTTATGTTTTCTGAATTCAGAAGGGACAAGGTCCTTGCCGGTATCGAGCGTTGCTTAAGCGCAAATCGACTTTCTTTCTGTTTGAATCTTCACGGTAAGTGTACGGGGCATACGGTACTATATATTTTATTCATAGAATAATTTCTTTACGCGTAACATGCCTTTTGCCAAGGGTTTGGTGGTCCATGTGGAATGATCTAAAGAACCATTGCATTTTTCTATACATCGATGGCGAAAGAAACCACGCATCTCCATTGCAGTGTTGTCATGGGAACGGAGTTCCCCATGATATTAGAATCGTTCCGTTGCTTTCGCTATGGGATTCCCTATACCTCTGCGACCTTGAGCATTTCGCCCAGTCTCCGATTTTTGGTTGATTTTCCGATGTATCAAAAACCGTTGTATTTTTTAGCCAATCATGTCTCTACGTCAAGTTGTGTTGATTGCTAAAATTCGCTTTCAGCGAGTTTTTTTCCACCTTGAGATGTCGTGTCTGACTGGTAAATCTGCGCAGAACCACGAAGTTCCGTTTTTAGGCAAATTCTTTTTTTTGGGAGGTTCCGATTGGTTATTTTTCACCATCAGTTTTCTGTTCGTTGGTGCAAAAGATCGCCTACCTCGGTGCTCTTGAGAAGCCGCCATTATCCCACCTCAAATTTTAAACATAGATGTAAAGAAATAATAACCATCGTACAAGGTGGAAAATTGCTCTGGAGGACCCGTTACGGATATATGAGCCAAAATCAGAACTCGATTGATGGATTTAATCCATGAATACAGAAATATTGCCTCAGCTTACTGCCGCGATCGCAAATGCATCCTGTGATGAACCTTGTGACATATGACAGCATAGATAAACAATGTCTCACAGAGTAATGCGGTTAATCCGTTGTCTCTTAGGACGCCAGTGGCCGAACTGCCGAAATCTCAAGGCCGTCTTTTGTGAAGCCCCGCTCAGCGTCCGAGATCACTTAAATGTTTTCTTTTCTCCCATTGTTCCTGAACGGCGAGATGGCCCAGTCAGCAGAGACACCATTTTGTCTGTGGGAAAATGTAACTTTTCGTGCGAGCGGGGGTTCGAATCTCGCAGGGGACAGTTAAATTTTACTGGTTGTATTGGATGTTTTAGACCAATCATCAAACAATAATTAATACTTGGCAACTTAGGAAGCACATAGGTCCCTTATGATGCGTATTCAGGCATATGTGTAGAGTAAAAATATCATACGTCGGGTGTCCCAAAAGTACCGGGACTGGTTCTGTAACTTCAAAAGTAAGATAGATACAGACATGATTTTGGTCTCATTTTAAAGATCAACTCAATACCTATCGATTAAAACCAAGATCAGCTCAATCGGATAAAAATTGACCGAGTTATGACAATTTGAATTTAGTGAGGAAAGTTTACCCCTACGGTTTTTAGGAAGATTTTTCGCTTACCAGGATTCAAAAAGTTAATATTCGTATCCACTTTCCTCCGAATCTTCCATAACTTCCTTTTGCTTTTCAAAGTACCGTCCATCAAACCGGATGCACTTTTTCATGCGCTCTTGCCACTTATCCAACATTGTTTTCCTGAATTCTTCCTCTGGGATGGCGTTGAAAAAGTTTTGAATTGCATTCTGGATTTCGGTCTTCGATTCGAATCTTCGTCCGCGAAGCTTCTTTTTAAGCGTAGGAAACATCCAAAAATCACATGGAGCCAAGTCAGGGCTGTAAGGGGGATGAGGGATTGTTTCAACTCCATTTTTACTCATAAATTCACGTGTTAAGCTCGATATGTGAGGCCGCGCTTGTCTTGATGGAGTATCCACGAAGCTTTCAAGTCCGACCGTTTCCGGGAAATGTGCATTCTCAACTCCTTTAGCACTTTGCAATAATACGCACTCTCAACTGTTGTGTTTGGTGGTACAAAATGTTGATACTTAAATGACACCTCGAAAATAAAATAACACAATAAGCATCACTTTATAGGCCGACTTTTCGATTTACGGCGATGAAGAATCTTCCTTAAAAACCGTAGGCGTAAACTTTCCTCGCTGATTTCAAATTGCCATAACTCGGTCAATTTTTATCCGATTGAGCTGATCTTGGTTTTAATCGATAGGTATTGAGTTGATCTTTAAAATGAAATCAAGATCATGTCTGTATCTATCTTACTTTCGAAGTTACAGAACAAGTCCCGGTGCTTTTGGGACACCTTATGTACACTTTACGCCGAAAAAGCGAACCTGAGACTTAAATGCGTTAACTTCCGAAAACCATATACAATCCAACGAAAATAAATAATTGGTACATAACAGCTTTCTTGTATGAAAAGAAAATAATTAAAAATGTTAAAAAAGAGATGTCAACACAAAATTACATAGCCCCTTCAATTCAGAAGATACTACAAACGAACTGTACCTTAACATTTTCATATCCCAGAAGCTAACGTTCCCATGACGAATATTGCTATCGCTAGCGATTGCAAAATCCAACTTGTTTCAAAATTCCGCTTTTATTTTATTTTTACGAGGAGAAACAAAGCCAACTTTACATCTTGAGATTTATAGAGATTATTCTGCTAACATAGAAGAAAAATCAAGGAAGTTTACGAGAAATGCGCCTACTACTTTTCCAGAAAACAACCAAATATGACAGGACTGTCATATTTGGCCGTACTATAATATACTTGGTCGCACTTTGGCCATTTCGCTGTAGGAATTCTATACAAAGTATCAACGCGAGTAATAACTATGATAGTGTGCTTTATTATCAGGCCCAAGCTGTACTCTCGCTGGAGGATGGGGAACTTTCTTTCATCTGATCGAAAAGGCGAGAGAGGAGATAAAGAACGGTTACATTGAAGCTGCCGTCGTAGTTTGCGCCAATCTCATCATGACTAAATATGCCATGCCCGCTTGGGCCGGCCTTGGAATGCTGGCTCCGGATGGAAAATGCCGCCCTTTTGATCAAAATGGTAAGTGAAGGATTTTCTGTACATCTTTGTTTTCGATTATGTATGTGTGTATGAGCCGCTTTTACGCGCTTGGGCGCTCTGCGACGCCACAGGAATCTGTCATGGTAGAGATCCTCCGGAAGCTGGCATCTCTCCATCTCTTCATGGATGCCCTCTACCCACCGTTTGGCTGGACGCCCTCTCCGTCGCCTACCTGGGGGGACCCACACCAACACCTTCTTCGGCAACCTGGTATCAGCCATTCTCTGCACATGCCCATACCACACCAATTGCTTGGTCATGATATCGTGCACAATCCAGCTGATATCGTGCACAATCCAGCTGATATCGTGCTTTCCACTGTTAATCCAGAAAAAATGAACAGAAGTCTTCGGTGCTGCCCATTACTTCCGTCACTCAAGTAGTGGGGGGAGTGGGGTCTAGTAGTGGATAACGGGGAGGTATGGGGGAGGGTCAAGCCAAGGATGACGCAAGCTTCCTTGAAGACAAAAAGGCTAAAAATCCGATCGATTTGCTTCGTTTTCCCTCTAAAAGAGGAGAGCAACACAACTTATGTATAAGACTCAATAAAATAAATTATAACCATGCTCAACATAGAGATGAATATTTTGCAGCTCAAGGTTACGCCAGGAGTGATGGCTGTGTGGCGGTATTCTTGCAGAAAGAGCAGGATGCTCTCCGTAATTGGGCCACTTTGATGGGAGCTGAGGACAGGTTCCTCAAAATTGGGCGAAAGAATTACATCGCATTCGACACTGAGAACGCGAAAAACGTGCTCAAGCGTATTTACACAAAATGCAAAGTGGACCCTGCCAAAGTTGGATACGTGGAAGCGGATGGATGTGGAGTTCAGGTGAGTGTTGCGACTTTCATGGAGTTCTCCCTTAAGATGGTTCCTTATGTTTTATTTGACCAAGTTCACTCTGATACGTTGAGTTGGGGCGTGCATGTATTCAACTTTGTTCAAATATTTGACTCTTCGATCAAAAGGACGACAGGAAATAACGCGTGAATATCAAACAGGAGCCCCAACTGCAGGGCCGGATTAAGAAGGTGGCCACATGGGCCGCGGCCCATGGCGGCAAATCTAGGGGGTGGCAAATTCTCCAATTTTTTTAAATGTAGGTATAAAAAAAATCGGATTTAGAAAAAAAAATTACAAACGAGAAAAGGCTACAAAATCTCTCATTTCCTGAGAGTATAGTAATTTCTAATTTTGTCGTCTTTCAGAGATACGAGAGACAGCACCTTTAATTAGTCGAGTTAAGAGGGAAAACAAACACACAATTTGGTCTGGAACGGCGCGACTCAGGGAGAAATGATGACGAGGACTTGAGATGAAAAGGAGAAGCCCTTGGCGTAGCAATCGGCATGTAACACATATTATAAGCGCCTACAAGACTGCACGAATACTTCACGCATTGCATCGAACACAGTGCGGTTATTGTGGTCAGCGTGAAACGGATAGCGCCTACAAGAATGCATGTATACTTCACGCATTGCGTCAAACACAGTGCGGTCAGCGTGAAACGCATAGCGTCTAACAGACTGCGTGAATACTTCACACACTGCGCGAAACACGATGCGGTCGGCGCGGCGCGGCGGCGGAAGTTAAAATCATTAAACCAAATTTTGTGTTTGTTCTTTCATAATTTTTTCGATCATTTCTTATGACTGGAAGGCCTTGTCCATTCGAGATAGGTTTACGAAACTTGACTTTCGCGTAAAGTTCCGTGATCTTTTTGTAAGTAGTGTTGACAGGGCTTTCTCAAAAAATGTGTTCAACACGAGTGAACGCGTCTTATGCACCCCTCCCCCGCTGGCACGTTCATGATGGTTTGATTGATGGTTTTTTATTGATATTTCAAAACGAATGAGCAGGGGGCGGCAAATTACAGGCGGCCAATGTGTGACAAGTAGGAAAATCCGGCTCTGCCCAACTGCAAGATCATTTGTTAGACAGAGTGAACACAATTAGCCTGATGCAAACTTTTGCTGGAGCAAAAATAAGAGTTGTTTCGATCAGTAAATGTCTTAAAAAACACGACGAGCGCTTTGGCAAAGTTCGAAATACACTCCTACCTTCACAATCTGCGTGAGAAATGTGCGGGTTCTGGAGCTTCCCGCTTCAAAACGACACTACGGCACAGGTGAAGATTTCGTTAGAGGCGCCGTTCTATCCAACCCCTGTGCACTGCGATACTACAAAATATTCAACATTGCCGAAACCAATCCGCCAAAACACACGTGCCTACACTGAAAAAAAAAGGATTGCTAATTCACCGATTTAGAAATGGTGGAGCAAAATTTGCTTCACTTCGTAAAGCTTTCTTATCCGTGCACGGTGTTGAATCAAGTGAACGACTAGCACGAATTGCTACACCGATTTGCTACATCTGCGCGCCTTCATGCAGTTAATCTTGCATCGAGTGGCTTGGAAGTGTAACTGCATTTTTTGGTATTGGTACTTTGCGAACAGTAAAAATAGCTCAATAGTTAGGCTGAAATAGCAGAATTTACGGTAAAATAGCGGAATTTACGGAATAATAACTAAAAAGGTAACAGACGTATCTTTTCAGAGAGCAAAATCACCTTCACGCGTGTGTGTAGGTTAGCTGAAGAGCCTCCCTAAAAAAGGGCCTTTTTTGGCCCCTTTTCGGGAACCCGGGGATTTCGTTCGTTTGTGGCTTAAATGAAACCTTATGATGAGGTAAGCCTCCAGTAAAAATTTTAGCTTGAGTATACGTCTAGTTTCCGAGATACAGCGTTGCAAAGTTGGCATATTTGAGCTTTAAAATTCTCATATTCTCAGGTATCTTATTTTCTCAGAACGATTCAATTGGATGTTTTATGATATTTTGTGACATTTTATCAGATCTTAGTATTATTATCGAATTCATATTTCAATTGAAACATTAATACTACTAATTCTGTTAAAACAACGTTGCAAAGTTGACATAAAAACCTATAAAAATGTTCATTTTATCAAGTTTCTTAACTTAAAAACGAACTTAGTGACGGCTAAAAGATATGCTTTTGGGGTTTAGATGCAATTTTATGATAGATTAAGACTTTTGTTAAAATTTAACTCAAAATGCACGTATAGTTTTAATGATACAGGGTTGCAAAGTTTATATATTTGAGCTTTAAAAAGTCTATATTTTTGAGTTCTGTGTTTAAGAAGCTACTTTTGTAGAATTTAATCACGATTTGAGGCAGGAAATCAACCATTTATGTCATCTGTAGATGAATGTTTGTATTTGAAGAAGAATTCTTTGACCGGTGGTGATACAGCGTTGCCATGCTTAAAACTTTGAACCCTGTATGGATTATGATTTTTTCTTGTTGAACATGACTTCAATGGGTATCTTAACTCGTATCAAGGCAAAATATCAAGGGCTGATGTCAGTCCCAGGTAACGATTGGTTTTGGAAAAAATACTGCTGCCAAGTTTATTCATAATTCTTTTCAAACAAAAAATAATAAAATTATTTTAAAATAAAGATGCTTCTAATTTAATTTTTTTACTTTTTTTTTATTTTGTTTAATTTTTTTGGTAATTTGTTTAGACTTTCGTGATTTTTTTATATTTATGTATGAATCCGTGAAAATATTTTTTTCGATTGATACGTAAGTATAGTCTTGCCTTCAAATATATAGCAAGTACCTCAACATGTTGCCGATTTTTTACTTTTACCAAGTATCTCAATTATTTTGAGGCATCTAGATCAAAGATATGTTTTCAACATGCTCTATACATGTATGAACTTGTTATGATTGGCACTGCCAAGACACTGCACCGTTGCGTATTGAGAAAATGCAACTTATTTCCAGATATATTTCACTGGGATATGGATGTATTTTTTATCAGAATGGAGGGGTCAGCGAATGCTACCAAGAATTTACATCCAGTGCCGAGATCATAATGTGAATGCTTAAATCCATTTTGAAATACAAGTATGAAACATGACAATAGCCTGGTCCTATTCTCTTCGGAATGCTGTCACTGTGACACAGAGGTCTTAATACTATGAGGACAACCCTCAACAAAAATGGAACTTTAACAACTTATTGATGAAAAAATAGTTAGTAGCTATGACGAAATAATAATTTTTGACAAATCCATGCAACAATATTTTAATAATTTTAAGTATTTTATTCTTTTAATTTCTTTTTCTAAAGATTTATTTATTTATTTATTTATTTATTTTTTTTTTAATTTTCTCATCATTTGTAATTCTTAAGTCGAAGATATTCTATTCTTTAAGGAACAACGAATGTATTGTCTGTATCAAGATTTATTTGTACTCAAAAAACTGGAGCGTTTCCATAGTTTATGTTCGTTTTTGCATTCTGCCTAAAAAAAAGTAAAATTGACAACCAAGGCAAGGTAGAATTTTTTAGATTTTGAAAGCAACACTGATGCTGAGCCATTCATTGTATGCCGTAAATTCACTTGGATGACGTTTTAAAACCAAACAATTATTGGAAGTATCCTTATTTTAAACTTATTTTATAATGGAATGTTAATAGAAACTTAAATAAAATTGGCAACAGTGCCATTTTAATTCCAATTTTCACCTAGGATTGACAAAAGTCCTCCACATTTCTTTGTTTCACAATATCACTTATCAACATTGTTCAATCTTGTCTTCAATAAAATAACACAAAATAGACATTTTCCCAGATACAAGTTGAAAACTTTGCAACACTGTATTATCGTATCCTTTTATAAATTAAACTATGCATCTACGAGTATCACTAATTGTTGATTCTATGCCCCAAAATACAGTTCGATCTTCAGTAATAGCGGTTTGTGAATGAGAAACTTTAAAAAATGAGCTTTTTAAAGCTGAAAAATGTAAACTTAGCAACGTTGTACTGCCAAAACAAGGCTTACGCATGAGTCAAAATTCTTACTGGAGACTTATCATAATTTGACTTATTATAATTTATCGTGTGCACCTCGTGTAAGTATTGTAAAGTCATTTTTGAAGTTGGTTTTTGGAAGAAAATCCATGAAAATATGAAAATTTTAAAGCTCAAATATGCCAACTTTGCAACGCTGTATCTCGGAAACAAGACATATACTCAAGCTAAAATTTTTACTGGAGGCTTGTCTCATCATAAGGTTTCATTTAAGCCACATACGAATGAAATCCCCGGGTTCCCGAAAAGGGGCCATTTTTAGGGAGGCTCTTTGTGTAGCGATTTTACCTGCATGTTTTGCACGTTCGTTTTTTAGCTACACCATACCATGAAATACCCGCGTGCAAGGCAAATTCAGCAATATTTTTTTTCAGTGTAGGCAAGATTCTAACCATTTGTTCACAACCCAGCGTGTTTACATTCACAATATCTTCTCGTGGATAAAGATCCGCTTTGGCTGACCTACCTTAAGCTTCCGATTGCGATTTGCGCGCGGACTATGTTGGGTATCGCTATTGCAAAAGAGTTAACAGGAACGACTTCTCTAACGAAACGTTCGCCTGTGCCGTGGTGTCGTTTTCGAAGCAGGAAGCTCAAAAAACCGCAAATTTCTTACGCAGATTGCGAAGTTAGGAGTTCATTTCAAACTTTACCAATACGCTCATCGTCATTTAAGAGACATTTACGGATGCAGACAACTCTTCTGCTCTAGGAACAGGCCCATTTCCTTGGCGAGGGTCGCGGCTCCAATTACCGTTTCAAAATAGTGGCTAGTTAAAAGCAGCAACGATAGAAAGGTACCTCCAGACCAAGGCTCTTGAAAATTGTTCATGTAAAGCAGCAGCAGCATCTTAAAACAAATCGTATCGTGGTCATCGCCAGAGTAACTCTACCCTGAATTTGTCGTTTTCAGGATCGAGACAAAGAAGAAATAAAAGTAATTCGTGAGGTATTTTGTAAAAACCGCTCATCACCACTTTTATTGGGATCGGTTAAATCCAACGTGGGGCACCTTGAAAGCGCCTCTGCTGGAGTCAGTTTGATAAAAGCGATCCTTGCTCTCAGTAAATCAAAAGTTCCAGCAACCATCAACATCGACTCACCTCTACCTACGTTGACAGAGGCATCTGAACTACAGGCAAGTACTGCATTTATTAATCGGAAGTGTACTTCTTTGTCGAGACATTTTTCGCACAATTTCAGGAAACCAGAATAATGTAATATCAATATGCAAATTACGAGGGAAAAATTATTGCATGCTTTACAAGCCAGATTTCAGTGACGTGATAACTTTTGAGACTTCAATAAAGCGACTCCGATCTAAAAACTGAAAACAACTAAAAAGAAAGAAAAATACTGGAAAGGATGTACCAAGTTCTTATCATGCTGCATGATCTATCAGTGTCTTTGTCTATCAGTCGGTGTTATGATATGTTACACTATCTCAGACTACTTCTTTGTTTTATAATGCCGAAAACTCCTTGAAAAGAAACAAATCCAAAGAGATTGACAGTTGAAAATTGACAGAGGCTGACCTTTAATTTAAATCAAAGAATTTCACCAGCGGAATAATTTTTATTTAAACATTATTATTTGGCCTGACAAAAATTTGACTCAGTTAGACGTCTCTGCATTTTTCTGTGCGGATCTCTCTAATACAACTTGTTTACAGGTTAGCACGGACCCGACCCCGTACGATGGAGAGCTGGTAGGGATAAACGTTATTTCACTCATTGGAGGATTTGCCCATGCACTGATTAAAAAAAACTCCAGGTAAATTTTACTTGGTTTAATATTTTACCATCCTCAAGTCATTTAAAACTAATACGCAGAAGAGACAAGTCTTCATAACATTCCATAGGCGGATCAGTGGGGGGCGTAGGGGTCACACAACCTCCATCCCCTCTCGCCCAAAAACAAGGAGGAAGAAAAAGGGAACAAAGAAAGAAGAAGGAAGACGTTGAGATTGGGTGATTATTCATGCCGAAATTGACTCAAGCTGCATATTAGATGCTTATAAATTTTGAATTTTGTTTTTTTTGGGAGGGGAGAGGAGCCCCGGACCCCCCCTTACGCCCCCTCGATCGAAGTGTCTAAATCTGCTAATGAAACATTCGCATATCCTCCCTTCAATATTTTTAAAATTTAGTTGCTCCATGAGAATTATAGCAGATCAGAAATACTGATAGGGATTCTACCTACTTTTTGAAAATATATTTGAGATAGAGAATGAATAGACATTAACTGATTCCACAAGAAAATATTAAAATAGGTATTCTGTCCCTATCCTACTTTGAATTTTTCCTCACTGAACAATTAAAAACTAAAAAACTACGATAACAATAAGTTTTCAGTGTATTTTTAAATGAGAAGTTGGTGATTAAAGTTTTGGAATTTGAAATTTTTGATACATAAACTCAAGAGTGCCAATTCTTGTATTACAGAGTGACATACTATAAAATGTCCTATCGTTTAGAAAATCTTTAATACGCCGCCAAAAGTAAGTTCGATTGTCATGTTGATCAAAACGTCCTTCAACTGCGATTTGTTGGCAAGACTGTTACTAAATTACCGGGAAAAGTCGGAATAATAATTGAAGCCTCATTAGAGGGCACAGCAGGGATAAATTGAGTGTCATCAGAGCTGAATAAAATGAAAGGAATATTTTATTTTATGAATAATTTAAATATATTGTAAATAAATGAATAGAAACTAAGGTATAGTAGATATATTTCTTTAATTTACTGTTCATTGCTCATCAGGATCTCAACACTGAAATTAGACGAAAAAGTTCCACAATTAATTCTCCTATCATCTCGGACGGAGACCGGAATTGAGGATGTTTTCAAGAGACTAAGAACTACAAAAGCCACCCCTGAGTTTGCTTTTCTGTTGAATAATGTGTTCCGGAAGGCGATGAAGGGTCACATGTACAGAGGTTTTACCATGGCATCCCCCGGGATCCCCAACACTCCGCACAAAACCGTGGTAAGTGATGAATGTGTGGACTTTGACACCATTCCGCATTTTAATTTCAAATTCAGAGGCTACAAAGTGAACGAGAAAGGGTTGGATTTCACTCATGGTATTCTTTTTTCTCCACTTTTCGATGTGGACTATGAAATACCGCCTGGTGTAAGAATATGGTTGCTGATTCAGAATTTTGTTTTTTCCTGTTTAGCAGTACTTTTCCTAGGTACACTGGTACACAAAGAGAGATTATGACCCAAAAATTTGGTTAATACGGGAAGTAAAACACCAAATAACCCTAGCCTTCGGTTGAAAATTTCAAGAAAAAATGCCAGCTAGTTTTTTCGGAGAAATTAATGAAAAACGAGTGGCAATTGAAGGAATGCATTTTCCCGACCTCTTCATTGTTTTCTACGCTAAATTATCCGCAAACTCTACCGAAATAAGCACAAAATTTGTGTTGATTTGTGTTTCACTTCCAACATTGACCATGAGTAACACAAGACACAAAGATTTTTATCAGTGTATTTGCATTAACCTGCTTGCTTACAAATGCAGCTTAATTATCAAGAGAAACGAAGGGAATCGATAAATTACTCGTGAAGCATATTTAAGATGAATGAAATAAATAAAATTATTTATACATTTATATTTTTTTTAATGAAAATATTACTCCCTCTAAGAACATTTACATTTTTAAAGCGTGGCAAATATTTGTAAAACCATTTCCAAGCAATGGCGTTGATATGAACCTTAATGAGCCGACGTTGTGTTGAAAGAAACTATGAAAAAATTAATGAAAGAGGGATAAAAATCACGCAATCTTTGGTTTAAATCCATTTATATATCGATTTTAGAGTCAAATAAGTCAAATTTTTAGCGCTCGGTTGCGCGTACAAAATGTAAAAGAAAACATCAAGAGGTTTGGAAATCATTAAATTTGACACTGAACCACCTCATTACTAACAAAACACACATTATATTTCTCTTTGATGTATACTTTTTCCGATCAATTTAAATGAGAAAATCCATGTGGAGTGTGCAAACATTTCAGAATCATGAGTTGAAAAACGCTTACTCCGCGCGAGTAAATATTAGAGCCAAATAAAGAGCGGAGCGTCGCACGGCGTGCTGTCAGCGCGACACGCGCACTGGCGCGTACAAACCTACCTAACAAGAATACTTCACGCATTGCGCAATGCGTGAAGTATCCCTGTTAGGTTTGTAGGCGCCAGTGCGCGCATTGCGCAATGCGTGAAGTATCCCTGTTAGGTTTGTAGGCACCAGTGCGTGCACTGCGCAATGTGTGAAGTATCCCTGTTAGGTTTGTAGGCGCCAATGCGCGTGTCGCGCTGGTCGCCCTCACGCCTCGCCCGCCGCGCCGCACGGTGGATCGAGTCAATGGGAGGGGTCGGTCATCGCGCATCACGCGTCTTATTTTCTCTGATTACGGAGATTTCCCGCCCTTAGAATAGATCAAATTACACTCATTTAATGTATTTTTGGTCGTAGATTCCATTTTTGATCATTTTTCAGCCGAATAACGAGTTTTAATACGAGTTTGACACACTTTTTCATAACTATTGAAAATGGGATCCTCGATAGCTGTTTTATCACGTTACTTTCGGCGAATGGGACCGTAAGCATCTTACGCAAAGAATAATTTTGCAGAACTTGACTCAAGGACATTACTTGAGGAGTAAGGGAGGACGGCTTTACAGCCCCCTCACCACGAAGGTTGCCATATTTCTTTTAATTTCTGCTAACATCGTTTTTTGTCCATGTTAATTGGTTTCTCGCAATTGCATACTGACACATATACGGAACATTCTGATAATGTTCATTTTTCTTCTCTTTTCCTCCAGCCAGTCAATAGACGTTTTCATTTTTATGAACTTTCTACTCTTTCAGTTATTCAACAAATATTCATATTTCAAAAAATAGATCAATATATTAAAGAAATAAAAAAGAGACGTATATACTGTAGCTTCTTTTTATCGAGTCATCCTAGAAAATTATTATAGGTACTTATCACCAGATAAAAAAATTGAAAGTGCAGAGAAAAAAAAAA